CTGCATTGGTGCCTACATACAAGTTGAGGTTTCGGATTGGCGGCCACTCAGACGCGCTGCCTGACATTAATATTTTTCAAAGAGTGCGCAAGGATCTTACAATCTCCTCCTCACCAACACAGATCCTTCCAAAAGGCTCCAAACTTTTGGCACTTGCTCCGGTGGACAACCTGGTCACGGGGGATGAGATGCCTGCCCAACCGGAGATTTTCAAAGTAGGCACCCCTACCCTGGATTCGTCGTGCGTGATTCAGACATGGGGGGTGCCTTGGGAACCTGAACAATTTGTGCAGGAGGTGGTCAAAGCCGGCCATCCAATGGACATGGCGACATTCCTTCCACCAAGGTTGCAGTCCCTACTGACTAACTATGAGACAATGAGCAGCTGCGACAGGGTGGACAGCAGACTTACGGCAGTGAAGTTTTGGCTGAAGAGGGCAATGGAGCTTAAAGGTGATGAAAGTGAATTTCATAGCAACCTGGATCCAGCAGTGGCTAGTGTCCTGCGTGGAAAGCGCATTCTCTTGTGGAAACAGATGCTTGAATCAATTGAATATGAGGACATGGATGTCGTGAACGAGTTTGTGAGTGGAACAAAATTGGTGGGTGAGGCTCAATCGACAGGTTTGTGGCCGAAGAAGTTCAAGCCTGCCTCACTCACCGAAAGCGACCTGTCCCACATCGCGATGTCGCAACGATCAGTCTTGAATTACAAATCTTTTGAATTTATGGATGATGAAACATTGAACGCCGTCTGGAATCAAACGTTGGACGAGGTTGAGGCCGGAGAGCTATCTGGCCCGTATGAGGTTGAACAGGTACCTCAGGAATATCCTTTGAGCAGGCGATTTGGCATCAAGCAATCATCAAAGGTGAGATGTGTGGATGATTTCACCCAATCCTCCATCAATGCTTGCGCTCAGACATGTGAATCGCCGAAGCCACATACGGTTGACATTTTGTGCAGCATGTGCCTGGCTTTGATGAAGGTAGCAACAAGAGATTCCACATGGGAGGCAAGGAGCTTCGATCTGAAGAGGGCGTACCAGCAGTGCGCTATCCACCCTGAGCACTCCAAGTACAGCTACATCGCGGTGGCTCATCCTGCAGAGAAGCGAATCAAATGCTTCAAAATGAAGGCGCTCCCATTCGGCAGTGTCATGTCAGTACATTCTTTTCTACGGCTGTCCCACAGCCTGTGGGCGATCATGGTTTCAATTTTTGGTGTGTTCATTTCAAATTACTTCGACGATTTTGTCGCCCTGGCCACCTCATGTGAAACGACTTCGGTCACCGCTGCTGTGACGTTAACGTTCAAGATGCTGGGGTGGATCTTCGCTGAGACCGGAGACAAAGCACCACCGTTTGCCAGCGTTGTTGCAGCTCTTGGGGTGACGATTGATGTTTCCCTTCTTCATCGCGGCCGTGTTCGGATCGACAACACTGAGAGCCGAAAAGCTGAGATCGCGGCCGCCATCGCCCAGATCCTTGATACAGGCACGTTAATCAGGCCTGATGCATTGCGTTTGAGAGGAAGGTTACAATTTGTGGCTGGTCAGATTTTTGGCCGTATTGCTAAGCGTTCATTAGCACTCATTACAAAGCATGCCTATGGTGAATGTGGCCCGACCATCTCTGACGAGACGCGTCATGCGTTGAAGCTTTTTCATCAACTGATCTTGATGGATGTGCCGAGGGAGGTTTCCTTGACAACGGGACGCTCCTGGTACATCTTTACAGACGCATGCTATGAACCGGATAATGCAGAAAAGACAGCTGGAATTGGAGCTGTGTTGGTTGATCAATTTGGCAGGTACAGAGGTTTCTTTTCAGTTTTTCTTACAGAAGATTTGCTGGCCAAGCTCAACATCACCAAGCGGAAGACCATCATTTTCGAATGTGAACTACTTGCAATTTTTGTTGCAATGACATGCTGGTCACAACACTTACAAGATTCGCAGGTGGTGGTGTGCACTGATAATGAGGGCGTAAAGGATGCGCTCATAGCTTGTCAGACCTCCAGCTACAATGCTACCCCGATTTTGGTAGCGCTCCTCCAACTTGAATTTGATTTGAAATGGAACGCTTGGTTTAGCAGAGTTCCTTCAGAATCCAATGTGGCTGACGACCCGTCGCGAGGTGAGATACAGAAACTTCTTACACAAGGTGTGCAACAATTTCAGATCAACCTTGACAGCATGTGGAATGGTCTACTGGAATTAGCTACGAGGGGTGGCTTCGACCAGCATTCCATGCCCCATGCTGTAAAAAGGTGTGACCGCAGTTTGGAGGACAGTTACAGTGAGATTAATGAAGCTATCTGAAAGAATGCGAACTAATCGAGTGAAACTGCAGTGAACGTTGTGAACGTCCGAGAAACTGGTTCAAGTGATTTAGACCTGTCTGTGCATGTGCAACATGACATGTCAATTTAACATGTGAAACATGTTTCTTTTCTTGGTCATTTTTCACTGGCCCACCCACTGTGCCACCCATGCCAGTGAACAAGGCCGAACCCCAAGCCTGGCTTCGACCAGCATTCCATGCCCCATGCTGTAAAAAGGTGTGACCGCAGTTTGGAGGACAGTTACAGTGAGATTAAAACAGCGTAATTTACGAGGTTTTTGGAAGTTTTGAAGCTAGCCGTCAAGCATGCAGAAAACAGAAAAACACTGTAAAAACCAGTGTTTCTGCTATCACAAAACGACGAAAATCAATCCGAAAACGGGTCCAAAAACTCAAAAATCCGCCTCCGGGCCAGGCCACCTGCGGAACCGCAAAAAAAGATGTTGCAAACCAAAAAATTGAGGTCAAAAAGTTGAAAAACACGGTGTTTTTTCACTTTTCGCTTGCCGATTTTGGACGGGCGCGTTCACGAACAGGTGTCTTCCGTACTGTTTTTTACAGTGTTTTTTGAAAACAGGAGGTTTTGGCCGAAAAATGCCCCCCCCCCCCAGGTAAACCTGTAACCTTTTACGAGTGCCATCCGGACGATCACGCCCCAGCACCTTCGGTGCGGGCGGATTTTTGCGTGGCAGGTGCAGCACTTCAAGGCCTGCTCGCTTGTGGCGGTAAGATTGCGATGGCCATGTTTGGATCGCTTGTGGCGGTAAAAATCTCTCGCTTGTGGCGGTAAGTGGGTGTCCTTGATGCCAGGGTATAGAAAACGGATCGCTTGTGGCAGTAAGATGCTTTAAAGATGTGCGCACTTACTTGTCTTCTATCCCTGTGATTTCTAGACATTGACTGGAACCATTGCAACGCCGAATTACAGGAGGTTTATGTTATCCAGGTGGAATTTCAGCTTTGCTGTGTTTTTCATGTCTTTTCGCTTTGCATTTGGGTATATATAATGCGACGGTTGCTATAATGGTAATAGATATCGTTGCGATCCGGTCATGTTTTGATATACATATAACGGCGCGACCGCGACTAGATTTGTAGCTGTTAAGCGAACGTGTATTTCCATGGAAGGATTTAGGGCTTTGGGTGGAAACTTTACTTACATAGCTAGCACATCATTATTAACTTTCTCCTCCTCCTCCTGCTCATCATCATCAGCATCATCATCGTCATCATCATCATCATCTTCTTCATCATCATCGTCATCTTCATCTTCATTTTCCTTCTCAACATCATCATCAACAACATCATCATCATCAGCTTCATCATCATCATTCTCATCCTCCTCCCCCCTCCTCTTTGCCGTCATCATCATCAACATCATCATCATCTTCCTCTTCTTCGTTACATTTTCATCTATGCCCTAGTACTTTTTGTACTTGATCGAAAGTGTTTGGGGCCTCTTGATAATACATTGTCCTTGATTGATACGGTTTGTTACGTGTGGAATTGCCCGTGTTGCAAGAATCTGATGAATGGATTTATGGAAGCCCTTGTGCATGATAATTTGGATTGTTAATCCTTTTTGTTAATCCCACCCCACCCCAGCCCACCCCACCCCACCCCACCCCAGCAGTAACTGATGATGAAAGACCACTGCCTGTTGCCGTGCCTGTGTGTGTACAGGAACATGAACGTTATTATCCCACCCCACCCCACCCCACCCCAGCAGTAATACGAACGTTCCGAAATCTCACTGCCGCAAGTGATCGGCTTTTAACGTTTGATAAGAGTTTCACTGCCGCAAGTGATGCAGTCTTACTGCCGCAAGTGAGTGGAAAATCTCGCTGCCGCAAGTGAGCCAAACTCACTGCCGCAAGTGAGGGTTGAGCCAGGAGGAGGAGGAGGGGGAGGAGGAGGAGAGGAGGAGGAGGAGGAGAAGGAGACGGAGAAGGAGACGGAGAAGGAGAAGGAGAGAAGGAGAAGGAGAAGGCGAAAGAGAAGGCGAAGGCGGCGGCGGGGGGACGGGATACAGAACCAAAGACAAGAACCGCACACAAAGATGTGCTGAACAATCGAATGGTGAACGGATCGGTAAAAACACGCATGTTGATAAAACATTTTTGGCAGCCGTTGTTTTTGTGTTGTAATTGATGGAACGAAAAACGTCATGTTTTGAACATCATTAATCATAAAGGATTCATGACCATCATTTGATTTGTCAGAGTGACAGTTGAACATTTGTTTCGTATCATGTTTTCTTTTGTGGAAAGGACATTGTTTTCGTTGGTTGCGGAATTAAATCTACGTCAACGTTGGCAGGGTATTGAAATCAAAATGGATCAAGGGTAAAATTTGAAAAACTGATGCGGCATGTGAGTAAAACTCATTCAGTGAACCACCACAAACAAACCAAACACATCACACAAAAACTGAATTGCAATAAATGTGTGGTGTGCAAATACATCAGTTGAATATCTCAGATTCCGGTGGATAAAAACGGTCCGATGTCAGTGTGTTTCGTGAAAACAAACAGACCAGTGAAAACAACAATTTTCCATTTTGAGTTCTGACGTTGGTGGGTTGAACATTTTTTCTGGCGTGTTTGCAATCTTACAGGAAAAAATCCCCAGATAGATCATGTTTAAAGATTCCAAATGCAACATGTACAAACTGCCTGGGTTTGATGGTTGCCAATGGTTGCATGGTCCTGAGTTTTGAAAAAAAATCCTTTGAAGTGACCCCGAACGTTCCCTCCATGAGGCGCTGTCGACAAACTTTGGATCGATATCGTCGCGATTGACTAAAACTGAGTCTTGCCGATTCGCTGCTGCAGTTTGTCAGACTTTGGCATCATTTTATCTTTTTGTTTTGTTGTCGTCAAAAATGAGGTGCTAATGAAGGGAAGTACTTCGAGGTGAAACCGGTGCCAAATGGTGTCCGTTCAGACATGGTTGGACTGTCCAGGCAGCGCTTGCAGATGCCAGGACAAAGGAGTGCGACACCCAATTCCAAAAAAAACACCGGTGTGTCACAGCATGCTTTTGAAATTTAATTTTCATCAAATTGTATGATTTGTTCTGTTTTTGGCAGGCTCATTAGATTAGAAGGCCAGTGGCAAAGAGAGGCGACGGAAAATGTGCTAGATTTCATCATGGTGAAATTTTTCAGGATGGACTTTGTCACCTTTTTAGCGATTTCACTATTGCCAGCTCGAAACGAGGTTGTGTTGAAGCGGTTTCTTGCAGAACGTCGCAAGCTGGGGCACGAATTTCAGAACGAATTCAAGGCTGGGAAATTGAATCTGGCAATCAACCGTGATACGATATATGATATACATGATATACGAAAAATATGGAAAAAATGCGGAAAACATAAATGAATTACAAAAAACATGGTAAAAGGTAGGATGAATCAATTTTACTTGCAGAAACCAAAAAAACAAAACATAGGACACAACACAGAAAACAACAGAGGGCCGCCTAAAGAAAACCTGCTAGGGACATACTCTGTGGAATTTAGTCACGTACTCTGAGTTCAGAACGGGTTTGAAAAACAGGGGTACCGGGTACTTTCTTGGGTAGGGTTGTCAATGTTTTCCAACGCAAATCCGTTTCTCACATCCTCTCTCTGGTTGTTTCCTCGTTTCTTTGGTTTCTTGTCTCGCTTCTTGTCTTCCTTCTTTCCTTTCTTGCTTTTGGATGATGTATCCGCCTCATCACGTATTGTCTCCGGTTGTGTCTCTACTTGTCACCCTTCTTGTCCCTCTTCTTGTTTGCTGTCTTCCCTGTCCGCCTTCTCACCGCTTGTCTCTATTTTTGCCTTCCCTCTTGTATTCTTTAGCAATTTTCTTAAAGACCGTTTGGATTTCAAAAGTTCCCTCGAATAATTGTTTTGAAACCTCCCTGCTTTTGATATCCAAAAAAATCAAAAAATGGATTCCGAATTCCGCAGAGGATACTTGTTTCAGTTTTTTTTTCGGGGTCTATTTTTGTGTAATTTCTGCCCTCTGAAGGAATTGCTGCTAAGCTTGGATCAGTCCTTCAAGACCTTTAAGGTGTGGTGAAATGCCGAAATTTCAGTCCTTTTTGGCATTTTGTTTGTGCAAACCTTTCAAGATTGGGACAGCACTGTGAGCGGTTTTTAAGTGGTCTTCCAGAAGGTGGTTGTACAAACATGAACTTGCATTGAGAGTGCCTGAAACAGGCTGAGAAGCAAAAGAGAAGAGCGAACGTCGGGCAGAATAAAGTCAAGGACACAGGGCAAATTGAAACAAACAACAACGGACCTGAAGACTCAGCAGTCTGAGGCACCGTTTGAATCCAGGAGTCTTGGCCATCGGATCAAGAGGCTGCATTTGCCACCATTTTCACTTGAGAGCATCATGTGGAAGATATGTGAGGGATCCAAAAGGTTCGAGAGGCAGCTAGCTGCTTGTTTACCACATCGGTAAAAAGGTCTCAGAAGAGGCGGAAGAGGAGGAACGAGAAGATGATGAAGTCTTGGAGGTAGGCTGTACGTGGTGACAGGGTTGGGTAGAGAGGCATTTTTTTGACTGGCTTAAATTTGGACTTTGATTTCAACATGTTCTTTTGACTGAACAACTTGCACAAACTTTGGCAAATGGCATCATGGATCTGATAACAATATTCAGGCCTTCCATCACGGATTCATAAAAATTGTGCGATTCAGGTTTCTGCGAGTGGCAGTCATTCAAAGGCCAGCCACTGAATTTTAAGTCATGTTGCGAAGCAGAAATGTTATATCCGTGGTGGTGGCTTAATGTTTTTAGTTTGCTGCAGCTGAGAACTGAACTTATGACACCATTGTGGGTTTGGAATTGTGATTGCAGGTGATGGCGCGCTGCACCTGGAGCGAAGAGATCCAGGTGGAGATTCAGAATGGCAGATAAAACCACCATCGATAGCGACACAAGAACAATCAAAGTAGCTGAACAAACATCTTGGCTCCCAACCAACTGATAGATTAAACAGGCAAGTACTGCAAACTGCAAACCTGCACAAAACTCAACTCAACTCAACCGTCACGGGCAACAGAGTCTGTCACGACGGAGCGAGAGGCTGTCACTCGGGCCTCCCTCTTTCTACATAACCCAGGCCGATTTACCTTTATAGGTAGGACCAACATTGAAAAATGTATTAACCAAACACAAATGATGACGTTCGCAAAATTCTCGCAGCTGCTGCCCATTCCAGTTTTCACGTTGACAGTCAGCATGGCCAACAGCAGCAGACTCATGGCATTGGCATCCAAACATAGGATAGGCACGCACCGTGCCGGCACAGCGTCCAATAAGCGACCAGTGTAAGCCCACAGCTTACCAACTCGCTGTCGCTCTTGCATTGTCCGTCTCTCAGTGGGGACATATAGTGACAAGAAAAAATCCACATCACTCACTCCGCCGTACCCTGACAGCGGCTCGCGACCAGAGAATTCAGCCGGGACTTCCACCACATGGACAACATTTCTACTTGTGAAAGTCTGAGTGCTGATTGCGATGATGACACCAGCACACTTGTGAGGATCCAGGTCTGACAGGAAAATCAAAAACCAAATGCTTACCACATTTGTAAGAAGTATATTGCGGATCATGTGACGAAGCTTTGTCCAGTGCCCGCAACGCCAACAAAATGTTGAAGGCCAACCTCTTGCAGAATGAACAATCCGCCAATCCATAGTGATGAGTTGTGAAGGCCGGCACCAGGATTATATAATCATTATGGGCAAACATTGTCTCGCTAACCATGGCATTCAAACGGTCATTCCTGTGGCTGAAAATTCCTATCCTCCTGGAGCCACTCAAACCTGCACAAAAGCCATGAGAACCAGAAAACAACTCGACGACCACAACAACGGCGACGACGACGGGGGCGGCGGCGGCGACAGGCGACGATGACAACGTTCATGACGATGACAACGATGATGTTCCTCCTTCATCAAAACAGAATGGAACCATGGCCGAAAATAGGAGGAACATAGAAACAAAACGAACATAAAGTAGAACAAAAACAGGAAGCTCCAGTGAAGGAGAACAAGAACGAAATAACAATAAAAATGGCAAGGGGAGCACGTAATGGGGCGACTGGTGGTGGGGAAGACAGCCATGTAGAGCTGAGGAGGATCCTGGTGGATATTGTATATTATAGTTGGATCCTATCATCATAGGAAAATTATTTTGCGGAATAACTGTATTCACAGATCTTTGGATGTGATTTGTGTTTTTTTGGTGAATGACAAAAAATGTGCATGCCAGGACAGCAAAGTTATCTCGAGCCTCAGCTTCACCGGGCCAAGTTAGATTCACACTTCTTGATCTTGCAGACGTCTTGGAACAAACATGTTAGTCCTTCGGCTTCCTAACAAATGCAAAAGTCTACTGCTTTGGTGATTTTAAATGACTTTCTTGGTCTAAGTAGAGGAATGATGTCAATGCGTCTTGGACGGGGATTCGATGGCGTGCTGAGCGTCACTGAATATCGGAAGAGACGATCTCAGGGATCCCACTACCTTGGTGATGTCCACTTTTCCACTGATTACGCGGTGGTGGCCTCAAACCCAATGTGATCCAGGGTTGTTGTGCTGGCTGTTGTGGCGTAAGGTCTGGTCATCCTGTGGAGAAGGAAGAGCCTCTTGGCAGATGAAAGGTCGTCAGCAGTCACCAGCTATTCTTGACTGCGTTCTTTGGATTGTTGCTCTTGCTCTAGCTGGTTCTGCTGTTGTTGCTCTTGTCGTTGTTTTGCTATGGTGGTGGCGGAAGGTGTTTTTTGATGCCGTTTTTGTTGCTGGTAGCAGGTGGTGGTGATCTCCACATGAATCTGAGGTTGGCTTCACCTGAGATACAATTGCCTTGTCGGGTTCACTCAGTCAAAGCAATTGAGTTGAGACACAAGGTGGGACTGCTGGTAGCACATTAGTTGAGGAACTTGGTTAGAGTTTGGACTGTTAGGATGTTGCAGGAAGTTGAATGCAGGCAAGAAAGCTCGCTTTGGTACACAGGTATGCCGCCGCCAGGGGCTTAATTCCTGCTCTTTTTAAAGATGGAGGGCTCGGAATCTTAGAAACGCCAAAACATGGTGTCGACGGTTTCGACATTCGACAGGCCGCAAAGCTTCAGGCAAAGGCAAAACACATTGAGGAGAGCTCGGAGAGAGCGTGAAGTTTTGTGCTGTCAGTCCAGCCGTAACAACTGCATCCGACCCAAAATGCATGGCCTGTGAAAGCCAGTATCTGCAACTTCCATGCACATTTTCAAGTCTTTGCTAGATGGATGGTCGATACAGCCACGAGGAGGAGTGGCGTCAATCCCATGTTGCGAAAGTGAAGGCTGGGTGCATCGAAAAATGACCAAACTTTGAATTCGAAGTCTACGGAGGTATTGCGCAAGTGACTTTCGTGCCATTGGTGACAGGAACAGGAGAAGGACACATCACAGGCGGAGAAAAGTGGCTTAACCCACAATGGGCGGTACGCGGTTGGTCCAGAAATGTTGTGAGCTACGACGCTACGATATCCTTGCAGCGTTCTGTCTTGTTGACATGTATAATGTACGTATATATATATATATAATATATATATATATATATATATATATGCATACACAGATTCTATTGAAGTTCTGAAATGATCGGAGTCTTGGAGCCTCTGGCAGGAGATGCTTGCAAGGGAGAAGATTCGGTTGGAGAAGTCCGGGGCTTGAATATCTTGATGGGTCTTCTCTATGTTTCCATGTTTATGCAGTCTCAGTCCCTGCATTTCCAAATGTAAATCTTTTGGACGTCATGTTTTGATGATGAGATAGTGGTGAAGCCAACTGAAGGTGAATGTTTATGGAGACACATGCTGCCTGGCAAGGCGTTTGGAAGAAGAACAACGAGCTCTTAGCAATGACGCCCTGAGCAGCGTTCTCAGACCTAATTCGCAGATGGGTCAATTTTTGGGACGGAATTTGGATTTGGAAGATCTTTGTGCGTCTAATCTAATCATACAATATCATACAATATATGCCATAAAACGACTGAACGCTATGGCTTGGCTCGGTGCATTAGACAAATTGACCCTCATACCACCATTAAGGTTTGGAAGAAGTCTTTCGTGACTGGTGACTCAGGAGCTCAGCAACAGCTCCTACAACAGCACAGCTGTCGGAAAGACCGCTTGGTCCGCAGGTGACTTCTGGGGGGTCCAATCCGAGTGCCGGAAGTGCCCCATGGCTTTGCGTCATGTTGCGTCCAGGCAGGTGAAGATTTGGAAGTCTGTCAGAGGATCCCAGAGCCTTGAAGAGGCCCAGAGTTCCATCTCCCAAGACAATCGTCAAGATGGAGGGCGAGTTGGTACATATTTTGGAAATTCATCATTTCTCGTCTTTTCGTGTATTTTCCAGATTTATCAGGATTTGAAACATTTTTAAACAACATTTTATGCATTGGAGATGTTGCTGGCACCAGGCTCTCAGGGAGGCAGCTGGACGCGGAGACAGCTCAGTGGCATCTAGCGAAGCAGCGAGTTGGGATGCGGCTTGGGATCTTAGATGATGCACATCTTGTGCTTGGGATGTTTGGAACGTTTTGACCGGAAAAAGCTGAATTTTGAAACTGTTCTCTGGTGATGTTCGTCCCACATTCGGGAACCGAGCCAACTATGCCACCAGTTCATCTCCGAAGCTTGCAGGGAAACCGCGGCAACCGTGGCAACTCGCGTCCGGCCTCAGCGCCCGCGCGGAGAAGGTGATGTGTTGAGCAACGCGATGCCACACGAGCCACCGGTGATCTGCGATGAATTCCCCGAACTCCAACGATGAATTCCGGTGGGACTTCCCACTTCCTTGCCATCTAAGATGGAAAGTGAAGAAACAAGTGATCGGACAGCCAAAGCCGGGATTGGAAAAGAGATGAAGAGAGGATATGTGACACTATTGCACAGATATGGATGGAATAGAATCAGATTGTGATATCTCTCATTTTGTAAGTGCCAAACTGATTCGTTGACCGAAACTAGCATTGAATACCGCTGCAGCTGTGAACCTGGGTCCAGTTTTGCTGGCAATCTCTTCATGCTGTCACATGAATCTGAAGTCAGGACGCAGCAAAATACCACTAAAACACACTTCTCTTTTTGGACAAATGGCAGAATCTGCGATAATGTAGGGCCTAAACGATCTGAGCAAGCGCGGAAAACAAGACACATGCAAGAATCAAAGCACAGTGGTTGAGCTATTTGACGAGCAGGGAGCATAAAACACACGATGAAACTCAAATGTTGAAAGTTGAAAGGCAAAAGCTTGATGGACCCTACAAGATGACACTGGGCAGACAGGCTCCCATTCCGATTTCGAATCTGAGAATTTCCATTGCTTTCGATATCTTTTGATGGTGCTTTCCAACTAAACGATTTTGTCCTTTCAGACTGAGACTCGCTAAAACCTTGAGGCAGCAGTCCCACGTTGGCAACCATTGCCTGAAGCCTACAGGAGAAGGAACTGCTGGCATCCAATGAGTTTCCAGCAGGAAACGCATCACTGACTGGACTGAACTCGTGAATCTTAATTAGCAATGATTGGCCACTTCTTATTGCTGATCACATACGCTCTGGCCACTTGTTTTATACCGGCTACCGGGTTACCATCCTGCCCTGCTCGGCTGCAATGAGCCATGCACTCAGGCAAGTGTGGAGCCCGTTGCCTGGAGAGTCGTGGTCTATCCTGCTTGCTTGACTAATTGACCAAGATGACCAACCACCGGACCTTTGGTTGACTCTGGATCAGCTTCAGAGTAGACTCCATGGCAGGTTGGCAAAGCCCTTGAGTTCTTTGGGCTTAGCCGATGTCTTTGGTAGAAGACTCAGCTTAAATTCCAAGTGAAAACGGGTGATTCTACCCTTCGACAACTGTAATTTACAACTGGGTAGGTGGGATCATCAAATTGTAAGTCCACAGATCACTCGAAATTGGCATTGCAGGTATGCATTCGAATCCCAGTTTTGTTTTGTCATATCCAGCAAGTAAAGCAAGGCTCAGAGGATACTTGCTTGCTACCTTCGAAAAGAAGATTAAGGCGCAGTGGCAGTACCATGCCAAAAGAGAGCCGACATGGCAGTGGGTTCCATCCAAACATATGATGTCCATGGCGATGTCCGTCCATGGCAAACATCCCATGGACATCCCATGATATCTCTGCATAGTCATTGGTTCATTTTGGGGGATGTTGAAGATCTGAAGTCAGGGACTGGTCTCCGACCGCCAAGCGCCAGCGGACTGGTTCATGGCACTGTCCTCCGTGCCTCGACAAGGGACATGGGACTGTGACAATCTCATAGCACTGATGATGGCACTGCTAGCTGATTTTGGAGGATACATCAATTCTGCCCTGGTTTTGCAAAAATGCTCACATCATACTGAACTGATTTTTACAGTCGGAATTTGAATCTTGAATCCCCTGTTTCGGAAGGCATTTTGAGTCCTTTTTGATCCTTTTTGCGTATATAGCTAGATGATGCTAGATGATGCTAGATGTATACCTGTGCAATTTGAGGTTGATCAAAACCCCAGTGGCCGATACCAACGGAAGTGCCGTGGCAAATATTTATTGTCTCGTTTTGGGATACATCTTGGGCCTGTGATTGATAGATTCCGCATACCGTGCACGGGCACTTGAGTGGATCAGAGTTTATCCTCAAACGATGTCATATTCATTTTAGTGATCATGAAGTACAATGTAATGAAACTGTGCACTTGTTCGGAAATGATGTTTGTTTGCGTATCTTACCGGTACCATTTAAGAAACTCTTGCCGTGCAACTTGACATCCGAGGATCCTTATTTGCAAAGCCAGAACCAAGCTGGAGACCTCAGACATCCTCAGACATCCTCAGACATCCTCAGACATCAGACCAGGTTGCCTGAAGTCCCGGCCCCGTTCCCAGGCGTGAAAAAGGCGGCTGCGACGGAGGAAACCGCTCCCAAGCGGCCCAAGGCAGCCCCTCCCAAAGCTTCCAAAGCCTCCAAAGCTTCCAGCGAGTCCAGCGACGAAAGCGGGAAGGACGCCAAAGATGGTCAGAAGGATGATGCTGCTGATGCTGCTGATGCTGTGGAGGTGAAGGATGCTGAAACACTCTGGAAGGTGAACATCGAGGCAGTCTACCGCCGCAAGAATCCGTGAACCTGGCGAGTCTTGTGCTTGATGTGCTTGAGGTGAAGGTTGATGTATGATTCAAGTGCTGAAGATTTGCAGTTTATCAGGAGATTCACCGGTGCCAGGAAACTCTTGCTCAAGGTTCCTGAGTTCATTGCAAAGTACAAAGCCTGCTCCTGAGCCTTTTTTTATGGAGTCTAGGGCCTACTTGTACCTTGGTTGCCACCGTCCTACTTTGATATCAAGCAAGATCAAATAGCCAATCTGTGCATATCCCAAGTATCAGTTCGGAGTATTCCTTGCTGAGGGGATAAGTATGGATAAGTCATAGCAATCAAGCCCGGGCAACATGCAGCCCCTCGGAGGCCAATGGCACGCCACTGGCGCACCTCTATGCCAAGGTTGAGCCAGGGTCAGTTGATGTCAGTTGGTTCGCCTCCTCTTAGCCTCTTGGTGAATCGAGGATCTGGCCCTTGAAAACCCTAGTGAATCGAATCTCTCAGATCGTGACATCAAACGTGCAAAGAGATTTAGCTGTGAGTTTCGGTCAGGTTTGTCGCACATATGAGCTGGATCCAAAGGCGGGCCAAGCCTTTCTTTTGATTTGTTTGCGATGTGTCTGGGAATTTGGTTGAGAATGAGGTGATGTGGGCGACCCGGGCAGATGAGGTCGAGCCAGAAAATGCTGATGAGGTCCGCCCGAAACATTCGGAACCAATGGCTTTGTGTTCAAAGAGAAGCCTTGGTTGCTTGGTTCTGTGGAGCTTTCGTGCCCAGGACGGGGCTTGTTTCAAGGACAACGCCTTTGAGGACGGGGAGGCCACAAGTTCGTGGATTCTGATGGAATTGTAGACACTTCAAATCTTTCAACAGCATTTGATCGTTTTCTCGCGCAAAGTGGCAGGCCAAACCTGGCTCAGGCGCGGGGTCCATATTTAACAGCCTTCGGCATTCCGCCGGCCCTCTGGCCTTTGGCATCCTTTGGCCTACAGGCCCAAAGCAGGGGTTGTGTACAGCTGGTTGGTGTAAAAGGTGGTTTGCGCAATTTGTGGTTTGTCAAAAAGTGGTTTGTGTAAAATCTGGTTTGTGTAAAAGCTGATTTGTGTAAAAACCGGTGTGTAAAAGTTGGTGGGTGCAAAACCTGGTTTGTGTAAAAGGTGGTTGGTCGAAAAGAGCTAGTTTGTGCAAGAGGTGGTCTGTGGAAAAGCGAGTTTGTGTAAAAGCGGGTTTGTGTAAAAGCTGGTTGGTGTAAAAGTGTGTTTCTGCCAAAAGTGCTTGGTGCAAAAGAGTGTTTGTGTAAAAGCTGGCTGGTGTAAAAGTTCGTTTGTGTAGAAGCTGGCGTGTGTAAGACCTTGGAGGTTACACAGAAAAGAGTCAAGTTGGTAGATGCAAGCGGCATGGGGTGTGAGAGTGCATGTGGAGAAGGCCGTGAGTGCAGAGGATGAAGAACAGGAGTGGCAGGTGCGCATGGAAAGTGTTGGGCGCAAAAGCGGCAGGTTAGAACGTACTTCTGGCTGGAACGGGCAGGAAACCTTGAGAAAACGTGGAAAAATGGCGCATCGCAGGGGCGAGACTGGGCTGTAACATGTGGCATGGGTGAGCCTGGAGAAGATGAACCTGGTGATGATGATGATGATGATGATGATGATGATGATGATGATACGGATGACGACGACGACGGCGACGACGACGACGACGACGACGATGATGATGATGATGATGTAAATAAGGTCAGCAGACGACAGGAGACTATACTAGACCATACTAGATTTTACTAGACTAGAGACTATATTTGATTATGCTACACTATACTAGACTACTGCAGTGGTTTTTTGGGGATGAGGGCAGCAAAAAAAGTGTCTGCTGAAGGAGAAATTATAGGTGAAGCTAAAGCTATCACAAGATGTATCACAAGAACATCCACAAAACACGCCGGCAAGGCCGGCGGATTATCTAGCAGTGTTTGACGGAGAAGCGCAGCTTGATTTGTAGCACTTAGTCCATGTAGAAGGGACCTGTAGCTGTTGAGTCATGCTGGGAAGGTGGCTCTACACAGTCTGGAAGCAGCTCCTCTTTGATGCTTTTTGGCGATGCCTCCAGCAAGAGCTCCATTTTTGGGCCCGGATCCAGCATTTTTGGTGCTTCAAGCGGATCAGCTGGTCTTGGAGCAGCTGAAGTGGCTGAGAAGGTGAACATCTTCGAATCAGCCACGAAAAGCTCAGGTGGGTTGGAAAAATGTGGAACAATCAGCAGTTGCTGAGCTGTAGGATATCTGATATCTAAATGTGAAGAGTGCTCAACTCCAAGTAGTCCCAGGCAAGCCGGGGGCAAAGAATTGAAACACTTGTAGCCTATAGAATGAAACAAAGAATGTGCCACTATAGGTTTCAGGCAAGCTTCTGTGCTTCGCAGAAACAATCTCTTGACCTGTCATTCCCGTGCCATCTCTTTTCAAGTTTGGATCTTGTCTCATTTCATCTGATCTCGTCGCATCGCAGCTCCCATTGTCACCGCAGTCTGTGTCATCGCATCTCATCACAAAAGCTAGCTTCTGCTAGCTGAAGTCCCTCTTGCTTTAGCAAGGTATTGGACGGGCTGGAATCTCCAATCGCGAGAAACTTCTCAGTCAACTACCCCCCTCCCCCCTCCCTTCACAAGCAGTTTGGCCGTGGGCTCAACCCCGCCGGGGTCACCGTTGGCAACATGAACATCGGTATCCTATGCACTCCCCACTCCACACTTTGCACTCAACACTCTGCACTCTGCACTTCTTAACTTTGCGCTCCACACTTTACACCCCGCACTCCACGCTCTACACTTTACACTTGGCACTCCACACCCTAATTTCACACTTGGCACTCCACACTCCACCCTCCAACTCTACGCTCCACACTGCACACTTTACACTCCACACTCTACACGTTACACTCCACACTCTACACTCGGCACGCTACACTTTAGACTAGACTTTAGACTTTACACTTTAGACTTTACACTCCACACTCTACACTTTGCACTCCCCCTTTGCACATTACACTTCACTTTTTACACTTTACTCTTTACACTTGACGCTCCACACTCTACACTTTACATTTTACACTTCATGCTTTACACTTGACACTCCGCAATTTACACTTTACACTCCACACTCTAGACTTTAGAGTTTGCACATTGCACTTTGCACTTTACACTCCACACTCTACACTCCACACTTTGCACTTTACACTTTCCGTTTGACACCGCACGCTCTACACTTTACACTTTACATTTTACACTCACAACTCTACACTACGCATTACACTCTACACTTTACACTTGACACTGGGCACTCTACACTTACACTCCGCACTCTACACTTTACACTTCAAGCATTACACTTTACACCACGCACTCCACACTCTACACCTTACACTCTGCACTCTATACTTTACGCTCCACACTTTACACTTGACACTCCACACTTTACACGCCACACTTTACACTTTACACTCCACACTCTGCGCTCACAACTTTACCTCTTTACATTTTTCACTTCGCACTTTACAGCTGACATGTCAGCTCCGCACTCTACACTTTACTCTTTACACTTCACACCCCGCACTCTACACTTTACACCCCAAACTCTACACATCACACCCCAAACATGAAACTGCGCACTCTATATTCACTTTACACTCCACACCTTTACACTTTGCAGTCCACACACTCTACACTTTACACTCCACACTCTACACTTGACACCCCGCACACACCACACTCTACACTCTACGCTTTACGCTCCACACCTTGCTCTTTATACACTGTACACCGTATGCTCCTCACTCTACACTTTACAGTCCACACACTCTACACTTTACACTTTGCACTTTCACACCTTACACCTTACACTTCGCTTTTCACACTTCAGACTCCACACCCTACACTTTACACATTGCGCTCTACACTTGGCACTGCGCGCACTACACTTTGCACTCCACACTCTACACTTTGCACTTCACGCATTACACTTTACACTACGCACTCCACACCCCACACTACACTTTACACTCCACACTTTACACTTGGCACTCCACACTCCACACTTTACGCTCTGCCCTGTACACTTTACTCTTTACGCTTTACACCCCACGCTCTACACTTTACACTCAAAACTCTAGACTGCGCATTATACCCTGCACTTGACACTGCGCACTCTATATACGCTTTACACTCTACACTTTACACTTCACACCTGACACTCCATACTCTACACTTCACTCTCCACACTTGACACTCTACACTCTATATTTTACACTCCAGACTCTACACTCTACACTCCACACTCTACACTTTACAGTCCACACTGTGCACTTTACACTTTACACTGCACTTTACACCCTCATCACCACTTTACACTTTTCACACTTTACCCTGTATGGAACCTTGGCCTAGCTTCAGTTTGATGTTGCGCACGCACACTTTGGCATTGAAAGCTGCGTCCTTCACTTTACACTTGTCACACTTTACCTCTCGTCCTCAACTTCGGCTTTGCACTGCGTTACTTCTTCCCGCGCTTCCAAAGGTCCACTCCGATGCCGAAGGTGGACCTTTGAATCTTCCCCAATCACTAGTCATCATGTTGGCTATGCTGAATGACACTCTGCACTCTACACTTGTGACTCCAAACTCTACACTCGACATTCTACACATTATACTCTACACTTGACACTGCGCTTTACACTTTACACTTGACACTTGACACTCCATTCTACACGTCACACTCCGCACTCTGAACTTTACACTTGACACTCTACACTACATTTTACACTCCGCACTCTGCACAACACTCCACACACTACACTTGACACCCCGCATTCTACACACTACACTTTACACTTTACACTTCACACTGTGCACTGTACGCTCTACACTCTACACTTTACACTTTCACCTTGCACCCTCACAACTTTGCACTTTTCACACTTTACGCTCTATGGACGGAGCCTTGGCCTAGCTTTATTTTCATGTTGTGCACGCACACCTACCTCTCGACCTCAACTTCAGCATTGCACTGCTTTACTTCTTCCCGCGCTTCCAAAGGTCCACTCCGATTCCGAAGGTGGACCTTTGAATCTTCCCCAATCGTTGGCTTTGCTGAATGTCCTTGTCCTCTTCGTGCAACAGTACATCATAATCATATGTTCTCATCCTCGTCCCGTCCGACATACATCACCTCAATACGTATAGGTTTGGATGTTCACGGGACCAACATTCCCCAGCTTCAGACCTGCTCGTCCACGTTGACAAAAAAGCTGCACAGCTGCGCTGTGCACTCTGTGTTTTCATGCCAAGCTCCCTGCCAAGCTAGCTTTCGCCCCTTATCCCCGGGCCTCAAGTCTCATGTCGTGTCTTCTCAGCTTTTTTCACATCATCTCATCTCATCTCATGTCATCTTATCTCGTCTCGTCTCGTCTCGTCTCATCTCATGTCTTCTTTCCTTTTCTCATCTCTTCTCAGCTGATCACAACTGTTCCCATCTCTTCTCATGTCATCTAAGCTTTTCTCATCTCTCTCAGCTCACCTGACCTCTTCTCTTTTCAGCTCTTCTCAGCTCACTCTCAGATCATCTCAGCTCTTCTTGGGCCAAAACCTGCTCCAAAACCGGATCCCGGTGCAAAGCCACAAAAAAGTACACTTTTGTAGCCTTCTTGAAAGCAAATTTAAAAGGAAAAAGGAAAGCGCCAATAACGAGAGAACTAGACAAAGTATGGCCCCAGAGCGTAGAGGAGCATAGTGAGAGGTATAAGTATGAAGATCTTATAGCATGAAACAGAAATATAGAAATATACGATGATGCCTAAAATGAAGAGACATGGTGCAGACATGTTGTGAACAAATAGGTACATATGAAGAATTTGAAGGAGAAAGAGAAGAAAGATGAAACGAAGGAGACACAGGAAGAAGGATTGAGGCAAACATTTTTACAAAGCATGCTCATACATACAAACATGCCCCACACCGAACCCTTTACACACAGACGCCTTTACACAGAGAAGCTTTTACACACAGACGCTTTTACACACAGACGCTTTTACACACAGACGCTTTTACACACAGACGCTTTTACACACGGACACTTTTACACACAGACGCTTTTACACACAGAAGCTTTTACACACAAGCACTTTTACACACAAGCACTCGTACACGTCCACACACAGACGATCATACGTACAGAAGCTTTTGCACACAGAAGCTTTTGCACACAGAAGCTTTTACACACAGACGCTTTTACACACAGACGTTTTTACACACAGACGCTTTTACACACAGACGCTTTTACACACGGACACTTTTACACACAGACGCTTTTACACACAGAAGCTTTTACACACAAGCACTTTTACACACAAGCACTCGTACACGTCCACACACAGACGATCATACGTACAGAAGCTTTTGCACACAGAAGCTTTTGCACACAGAAGCTTTTACACACAGACGCTTTTACACACAGACGCTTTTACACACAGAAGCTTTTACACACAGATGCCTTTACACACAGATGCTGTTACACACAGAAGTTTTTACACACAGAACCCCGTACACATAGACACTATTACACACGGACCCTTTAACGGGACCAACCAAATTTGCAAAAAAAACAAGTTTTTCACACTCCCACGTCATGTCGTGCGAAAGGGTTGCCGCGGACACTTCAAAATCGCAATTTTATCACAGTTTTTGACGATCGAACCTAATTTCGTGCGAAAGGGTTGCCGCCGAAGCGCCAAAATCGCAATTTTATCTGAGTTTTTGACGGTCGACCCTCATTTCGCGTGAAAGGGTTGCCGCGGAAACGCCAAAATCGCAATTTTACCGCAGTTTTTGACGATCGAACCTCATTTCGTGCGAAAGGATGGCCATGTCGTGGCGCCTCGTCAGCACTGCCCGCGGCCTAAAGAGAGAAGAGAAAAAGAAGGAGAGAGAGCGTGACAGAGGACAAGAAGAGAGAGAGAGAGGGAGAGAGAGAGAAGGCGAGAGAATGAAGATGTGAAGATGAGAAGATGCGAAGAAGATGTGAAGATGAGAAGATGTGAACACATGAAGATGTATAGCCTATAGCAGACCTCCACTACTAGAAGAACCCTTCGCTCAGATGCTCTCGGAAAACTGATCGTTGCAACTTTGGCACAACCATTCCAATATGATTTGCAAGCAGCAAGTTGTAATATACGATGGAAGTACGCGTATCATCAGCATAGAGCAACAGTGATGCAGCCACTCCAGTGCTATTTGCAAGCAGCGAGTTGAAAAGACCATGAACTACGTGTGCAACAGCAGCGCAGAGCAGCATTGATGCAGCCATTCCAAAAGGATTTGCAAAAGTCCATCCGTCGAACTACGTGCGCAACAGCAACGCAGTGATGCAGCCACTCCAATACGATTTGCAAGCAGCAGGTTGCACAAGCCAATGGAATTACGTTGTCACAACAGAAGCTTCTCCCGGCCAAAGCCAAAAAAAGCACAAAAGGAACTACAAAGGAACATGAAAGGCGCCCAAAATTCGGAAAAACATCAACAACTCATTGCCGCAACCTTGTCGCACTTGAACTTCAACTTGTGAAAACGAAGCTTTCGTGCGAGATGTCCCTTAACATCTGAAAGTTGAAGATGCGAAAACAAAGCCCTCGTGCAAGACTCTCATAAAGTTGAAGATATGAAAACGAAGCTTTCGTGGACTCCCCTCCAAAAGTGAAACTTGAAGATGCAAAAATGAAGCTTTCATGGACTTCCCCCAAGAGCTGAAAGTTGAAGATGTGAAAGCGAAGCTCTCGTGTGAGATTTCCCTCAAAATCTCAAAGTTGAAGATATGAAAACGAAGCTTTCGTGGACTGCCCTCCAAAACTGAAAGTGGAAGATGTGAAAATGAAGCTTTCCTGCTAGACTTCTGTCAAATTTTGAAAGTCAAGCTGTGCAAAGCGAAGCTTGAAGTGGCAGCCTGCACTGCCGGGCTGCTCCGAAAATGATCCGACCCTAGCCGAACGTGTTCCGGACCCGCCGCGCGGCAAAGCTTCCCCATCCATCTTCCAAAGCACGTTTTTTGCTGCAAAACACAGCATCTTGTGTGCGCGACCTCCCTCAAAAACTGAAAGTTGAAGATGTGAACACGAAGCTTTCGTGGACTTCCCTCAAGAGCTGAAAGTTGAAGATGTGAAAGCGAAGCTCTCGTGTGAGACTTTCCTCAAAATCTCAAAGTTGAAGATATGAAAACGAAGCTTTCGTGGACTTCCCTCCAAAAGTGAAAGTTGAAGATGTGAAAACGGAGCTTCCGTGCGAAACGTCCTTCAAAAACTGAAAGTTGTGAAGATGTGAAAACGAAGCTTTCGCTCAAGACTTTCCTCGAAAATTGTGAAGATGAAGCGGGGCCGATCCGAGAATGATCCGCTGCGCGGCAGACCTGTCTTCCGAGGCCTGTTTTGTGCTGCAAAACATAGCATTTTGCGCATCCATTATCTTTCAAAAACGCCTTTCGTGCGAGACTTCCCTCAAAAACTGGATGTTGAAGATGTGAAATCGAGCTTTTGTGTCAGACGTCCCTCAAAAACTGAAAGTTGAAGATGTGAACACGAAGCTTTCGTGGACTTCCCTCAAGAGCTGAAAGTTGAAGATGTGAAAGCGAAGCTCTCGTGTGAGAGTTTCCTCAAAATCTCAAAGTTGAAGATATGAAAACGAAGCTTTCGTGGACTTCCCTCCAAAAGTGAAAGTTGAAGATGTGAAAACGGAGCTTCCGTGCGAGACGTCCTTCAAAAACTGAAAATTGTGAAGATGTGAAAACGAAGCTTTCGCTCAAGACTTTCCTCGAAAATTGTGAAGATGAAGCGGGGCCGATCCGAGAATGATCCGCTGCGCGGCAGACCGGTCTTCCGAGGCCTGCTTTGTGCTGCAAAACATAGCATTTTGCGCATCCATTATCTTTCAAAAACGCCTTTCGTGCGAGACTTCCCCCTCAAAAACTCGATGTTGAAGATGTGAAAACAGAGCTTTTGTGTCAGACGTCCCTCAAAAACTGAAAGTTGAATATGTGAAAACGAAGCTTCCGTGCGAGACATCCCTGAAAAACTGACAGTTGAAGATGTGAAAGCGAAACTTTCGTGGAATCCCCGCAAAAACTGAACCTTGAAGATGTGACAACGGAGCGTTCGTGCGAGACGTCCGTCCCTCAAAAACTGAAAATTGAAGTTGCGAAAACGAAGCCCGAACTGTCAGTGCCAATGTGGGGCCGATCTGAGAATGATGATCCGACCACAGCCGAAGGTGTCTCGCAACCGCCGTGCGGCAGACCTTCCCCATCCATCTTCCGAAACCCACTCTGTACTGCAAAACGCGGCTTTTCGTCGCATCGGCTATCAATCTTTCAAAAAAACATTTCATTCAAGAGCAAAACATCCTTCAAATTTCATGCCAGACTTCCCTCAAAAACTGAAATTTGAAGATGTGGAAACGAAACTTTTCGTGCAAGACCTCCTTCAAAAACTGGAAGTTGGTGGTTGTGGTGGTTGTGATAGTGGTGGTTGTCATGGTGGTGGTTGTGATAGTGGTGGTTGTCATGGTGGTGGTTGTGATAGTGGTGGTTGTGAAAGTGGTGGTTGTGATAGTGGTGGTTGTGATAGTGGTGGTTGTGATAGTGCTGGTTGTCATGATGGTAGTTGTGATAGTGGTGGTTGTGATAGTGGTGGTTGTGGCGGTAGTACTGTTGGTTGTGATCGTGGTGGTAGTGGTTGTCTTGATTTTTGAATGCCTTCAAAAACGACTTCTCAATTTCCTGTCATGGTTGTTATCAGGCGGCATTTTCGAAAGCACTGGTAGCGGACCAGCAGCTCCACCTGGCGGTCTTTTTACCTTTGGAGCTGGATCTGCAAGCTCTGCACCATCCACCAGTGCTATCAGTTCCACCAGTGCTAGCAGTTCTACGAGCGCCTTGGCGACTGCGCTGTTTGGTACGGGTTCCACCCCAGCTCCATCGGCAGCAGCTCCCAGCGGTGGACTCTTCAAATTTGGGGACACACAAAGTGCTGGCGAAGAAACTGCAAGCGGGGCCACCAGCATTTTTGCCACTGCCGAAAAAGGTGGCAATATTGCAGCAGCAAGCAGCAACAGCAGCAGCAGCAGCAGTACCAGCATTTTCGGAGCTGCGCAAAATGCAAGCAGCGGCAGTTCCAACATCTTTGGAAGTGCACCAGCTGCAAGCGACAGTACCAGCATTTTTGGAACTACACCAAGTGCAAGCAGTGGCAGTTCCAACATCTTCGGAAGTGCACCAGCTGCAAGCGACAGTGCCAGCATTTTTGGAACTACACCAAGTGCAAGCAGTGGCAGTTCCAACATCTTCGGAAGTGCACCAGCTGCAAGCGACAGTACCAGCATTTTTGGAACTACACCAAGTGCAAGCAGTGGCAGTTCCAACATCTTCGGAAGTGCACCAGCTGCAAGCGACAGTACCAGCATTTTTGGAACTACACCAAGTGCAAGCAGTGGCAGTTCCAACATCTTCGGAAGTGCACCAGCTGCAAGCGACAGTGCCAGCATTTTTGGAACTACACCAAGTGCAAGCAGTGGCAGTTCCAACATCTTCGGAAGTGCACCAGCTGCAAGTGGCAGTTCCAGCATTTTTGGAACTACACCAAGTGCAAGCAGTGGCAGTTCCAACATCTTCGGAAGTGCACCAGCTGCAAGCGACAGTACCAGCATTTTTGGAACTACACCAAGTGCAAGCAGCGGCAGTTCCAACATCTTCGGAAGTGCACCCGCTGCAAGCGACAGTACCAGCATTTTTGGAACTACACCAAGTGCAAGCAGCGGCAGTTCCAACATCTTCGGAAGTGCACCAGCTGCAAGCGACAGTACCAGCATTTTTGGAACTACACCAAGTGCAAGCAGTGGCAGTTCCAACATCTTTGGAGCTGCACCAGCAAGTGGCAGTTCCAACATCTTTGGAGCTGCACCAGCAAGTGGCAGTTCCAACATCTTTGGAACTACACCAAGTGCAAGCAGTGGCAGTTCCAGCATCTTTGGAACTACACCAAGTGCAAGCAGCGGCAGTTCCAACATCTTTGGAGCTGCACCAGCAAGTGGCAGTTCCAACATCTTTGGAGCTGCACCAGCAAGTGGCAGTTCCAACATCTTTGGAGCTGCACCAGCAAGTGGCAGTTCCAGCATCTTTGGAACTACACCAAGTGCAAGCAGCGGCAGTTCCAACATCTTCGGAAGTGCACCAGCTGCAAGTGGCAGTTCCAGCATCTTTGGAACTACACCAAGTGCAAGCAGCGGCAGTTCGAACCTCTTTGGGGGTGCACCAGCTTCAAGTGGCGGATCGAACATCTTCGGAGGCGCACCCACTGGCAGTTCCAGTATATTTGGAAGCAACCAGAGTAACCAGAGTCAAAGTAACTCGTTTGGTGGAGCACAAGGCGGATTTGGAGGAGCCCAGGGCATGTTTGGATCATCCTCTGGAAGTACCTTTGGCGCTGGAACTTTTGGGCAGAGTTCTGGAGGCGACGCATCAGTACCGTTTTGCTTCCAATCCCAGAGAAGAGCTCGCTCTAGTCCAAGAAAAGTTGATAGGGATCTTTTATGGATTTTGATCGTTGAACTCATTGAAAATAGTTGAACATGGGATCTTTAGTCAGCAAAGACAGGGAGATTCATTCGTGGCTGGCAGGTGCCTTTGGGCAAGGAAGCTCTGGTGGTAGTGGCCTTGGTAAATCTTGAAGTTAACATAGACTCATGCTCCGTTGAAATTAAGTCTAATTAAGTCTTCCAGCAAATGAGCTTGAATCTGATGATCATTTTGATTCCGAGGTGGCAGCATGTTTATGTTTGGACAACCTCCACCGCAACAGCCTCAAGGCTCCAAAGCAACGAGAGGAAGCGGCCTCTCTCCCGTCAGGATTTCTAGGAATGCAGAGAAGGAATGAAACAGGATGAACTATGATGAACGGACATTTCAAACATTGTCAAACAGTGTATGACTGATGTGTATGGCATATGGCGGGTTGAAGCCATCGTTTTGGATCCTGGGAATCTCTGTAGACATGGCAGGCGGTATGTTTGGTGCAGCTCCTGCACCTGGTTTCGGGGGAAACTTTGGGTCAGGCCTGGAGATGGTCGGTATATTGGAAGCCACAGGGGAGAGGATTCCAGGATTCAAATCAGAAATGCCAACACGATCCAACAAGTGACATCAAACACCCAAAATGTGGACTCCGTAGAACTCCCATGGAATCGGACATGCGGGGCTGTGGACCACTGTGGATGAGGTGGTGCTCCTGGTGCTCCTCCTGGTGCTCCTGGTGCTCCTGGTGGAGGATTTGGCCCAATCTAATTCACACGTATTCACAAATATTCACAAGTCTTGTCACTCCTTTACCTTTTCAGGGCTTGTTTCATTCGGTACCATGCAGTGATGCTATCCAGGAGGCTTCGGGCAAGTGCAGGCCTCGGATCGTCTGCCTTCATGGATGCTTCCAGTCCTGTGGTCCCCAGGTTATGGGAAATGGATGGACATGTTATGGGAATGGTTTCTGCATGTTTCTGCTGATTCTGCTACCCATCTATCCAGATCGATCCATTTGGAGGATTGCAAAGATGCCTCAATGACCCGTGAGGCTGGAGGCTTTGGCTTCGGACCCGTACCAGGAGAGCTTTGAACTTTTAATGGTGGAATCGCTAAGCCGCTAAGCGAAGAGCTGCCTGCTAGGACAAGGAGGTGGCGCCTTCGGTGCCCAGGAGTGGATGACTTGATCGGTGGGAAAATGGGAACATGGAAAACCATATTGTCATTGGTATAATATAGTGACATACTACAGTACGACATAGTACGACATATTCATATTGTATGTATTATGCATTATGTATTTGAAATAGTCATAATATCATATGATTGTGATTATTTTTTTTTATGTTGATTGAAATTGGTGTTATTGGGTGGTACCTTTTTGGTACCTTTCTTCATTGAAACAGACTGTTGTCACCGAGTTGCTTGTTGAAGGCTGCTGGGGGCTGCGGTGGTGGCAACCTCTTTGCAGGGTCCTTGAGTTCTGGTGCAGTTCTTCAACTGGGTTCTTTCTCTCAGTTGACTGATTCCCAATGACTTTCATGACTTTCACTTTCTGGTATGCATAGTGTACATGTTATATGGGGATAGATCTCAAGAGTGTGTACCATGGGACCCACAAATAGCTTGTGATCACGAACCCTAGCTGGAGTTGCTTTTTGCTTCAGCAAATCGATTGAGAGGTCTGGAGGCAGCAGTTTTGCCCAATGCGTATTTTTTAAAGCAACTCCAACCCACATCACTATAGATACATACAGTATGGGAACATATTTGAATACAACTTGAACCTCAACCATTCGATCATCCATGTTTGTCCTGCCATGTCCATTTTCTCCATGTCGCTCCAAGCTCTGCATGCAAGAGCAGCTTTCACCTTTCTTTCGGGGTTCCCTTTGCTTAGCCTTTGTTCACCTTGGGGCTCAAAAAGTATTGGCCACGCGCTGGGGCGAAGCTGAGGCTCAGCCAAATCCTGGAGGGCCTCCTGCCGGGAGGAGGTGCAAATCATCGCTTGGGTGAAGTCACGACAACAGCATTGAACAGCTCACAAGATGATCAAGATGTGCTTTCCAACAATACTCTTGAAGATCTTGAAGCCCCCAAAATGAACCACTGCTTCACTGCTGCAGTTTTTGGGTCGGGGCTTGGATTTTGAATCTGCCTGTATCTGGCCATGCGACAACACGAGCCATTTGGCCTTAACAACGAGAAACCGAGCCTGCGCAGTTCTAGCAGTTCGTCAAAGTTCAAGCAAAGGAGGAACCTTCTCAGCCCTACAGAGACCCACCAGAGAGTTGAATGGTCATTTTGCTTGCGTTAAATTTGAATACTAAAACATATCCAGACTTATCCACCAGTGCCCACAGCTTCACATCGCTGCATCGCAATGTCGAAGAGGAAGATTGTAAATGACCCTCTGACAGATTCGCGTGGAACAGACAGTGTCCTTATTTTGGACGGTGACTTGGCTGCAAACAAGGTGCTCCGTGCTCCAACAGACGAGTCTCGTGAGAAAGTCCTTGTCCTGTGAGTCGTATGAGTGAATTCTTAGAAAAATCTGCCAAAACTCAATTTTGGTACCAGAGTGAGAAGTGCCCTGAAAATAGATACTCAGACAATCTCAGACACAAACGACAAGTTTTGTGTCGACTGGCAATTATACGGCGTCACAGTTCCCCGTTATTCACTTTCATTTATGTACTCCAACCACGAGACGAGACAAACTTGAGTCACTTGAAGGCAAGCCATATTAACTTTCACCATGTCTGCCACTTGAAGTTCTCCAAAATCCATCGCTTTTGCTGTGATAAGGTGGTTTGGCCACACACATGGAATCGTTCCTTGGCACTTGCGTTTTCCTATGCTTCTATATGTGCAAAACACAAACTTGGGGACAACTTGGAGTAGAACTTCTTTTCCAAACTCTTTCAATCACCTGCAATCACCTGGTAGATGTGGAATTCAGCAACCTGCCTTTTGAGGCTGGGTGAGAATATTGATCACTCCCTTTGGTCTGCTCTATGCTTGATCAAGAACCCCAAGGCCCGCTGAAGTTGGGCCAGCTTTTGATGAATAGCTTGGGTTCTGTTCCGTTTTTTACATGTTTCCACAGCTTGGCTACAAGAGGAAGTGCGAGATTTATCATCCCACAGAGGTCCGGTGGCCATATCGAGGTTGAAGCTGAACCTTGTCCTTTCATACAAAAACAGGAGCATTTGATGATGGAGGGGCAAAAAGCTGAGACTAGGCATTCTGAGCATTTCGCTCGCAGCAGATTGCTTCCAGAATGCAGTTTTTGGACCTTTATCCAGAATCATCTGAATACGATGGAGGAATCTGCAACATTGCAAATCTAATGCTGAAGGTGAACCAACTTCGATGGATTTTGGGGTTTATATTTTGAGGTGCTAGGGAGCCTCGTACATGGTCCCAATACGCCCGTCGCGATTGAAATTCTGCCCACTGGATTGCCCTATTTCACATGGTGATTAGGAAAGATCCAAGGATGGACCTGACCATTGGCCCACAGGTTATCAAACGGGCTCATGCTGACTTTTACGCAGCTGGTAGAAATCCCAGCTTGGAAAAGGCATGGTGCGTGATGAGCCGTCAAACATAAGAAGCTCAAAGAGAAGAACTATCATTGAAATATCAAATATCGACGAAATTTGAAGGTTTCCCCACCTGCACAAGCCGGAGCCAAACAGAGCTACCAAAAGCGGCAGAATGTTTGCTGAGGTGCCAGAGTTGCCATCACGGCCTCATACCAGGCGGGAACCTTGGATGAGGGCTGGTAGATTTGCCTTTGGAAGCTACGGAAGCCATGGAAGCTGGAGAAAGAACTGAGGAAAACATGGGAAAACTAGAAATTGAAGTCAAACTCGAGCTGTGCTCAAGCCCGGAAACCGTCCCGGAAACCTGATGCTAGTGTCATGGAAGTCATCCTGACTTTCAGGAAGTTTGTGTATCAAATAGATTGGCAGTGGAACAATATCCTTCGTTGCCAGAAAGCTGACATCTCGAATTTCCAACGAGAGAACTCTTCGGGCCAGGCTCATTTGGATGGCTTCCATAAGCTGGGAGTCGGGGAGATAGAGGCACAGCTTCCTGAGATTATTCTTAAAATTTCTTAAATCACAATTTCAGATCCACTCACAGATTGAATGGCATATGTATCTCCTGCAGTATTTTGGGCACAGATTTTGGGGGCTTGGACCCATGCCCCCATGCCCAGCTTGTTGGGTCCGCTGGTAGAGGCAGTTGCGGCGATGAAGCGCTCCGTGGAATTGGCTAGGTTCGCCAGCAGGACAATAGGATTTGAGGCTTTGACACCCAAGTTATGTTGTATTCCAAGAAATTTTATATGAAATTTTCATGAACCCAATGAACCCCCCCTGTAGGCCTTACGTCTATTTGGCTGGTAAATTACAGCAGCCCTGAAAACCGGAACGGAATCCTTGGAACCCTGCTGGGTTGCAAAGCTGGGTTAATTTATGGTTTGCTGTAGATGTTCCCTCAAATCAACCTGCGTGATGACAGTAGGGAAAGTCAGGCCTGTGTACTGACAGTTCAATCCTTAGAGACTCAAGTTTGTGTCTCAGAATTTAAGATGTTGGTCGTGGAATGCTTTTCGACATTGTGCCACAATTCCAGCATCATCTGACATCCCTCAAGACAGCGAGATGGTTCGGTCGGGTCACGACCCTTTAGGGGATCTATAATACATGAAATGATGAAGCAGTCCACTACAATGATGGCCTCCTGACCGTATGTACAAGCCAGAAACATCTATGCAAACGGGATTCCGGTATACTATGCCTTGTTATAGGTGTTTTGCAACACCATTTATTCATGACTACAGTTAGTTAAAACCCATCACATCCAGTATGAACCACATTGAACCACCATGACTAGGCCATTGATTTGCTGTGATTCTGCCAGGGAAGCTGCACCCAGTGGCTGCCTGGTGGCTGGAAGTGTTGGTTCCTATGGTGCATCGCAGCCTGGCGTTCAACGATGATTTCACCAAAGTGGCACGACATGGAGTTGGTACTGATGAGAGTGTTTCTGACCAGCAGATTGAGGATTTGTTTGTACCAAGGCTGCACAATGGTGCTGAATATACTGGAGATTATCCAGGCGCTCCTTCCCCATACCCCAAGTATTGGATTTTGCCCGATATTTTTAGCGGGTCAGTTTTGCACCCTGGATCCCGTATTGGTTGGCTTAGTATCTCCCTGGATTGATTGACTGCAGGCATGGACGAGGAGAAGTTGTTGGCTTGGCATCGGCCGCGGGCCAAAGCATTGCTCGAGGCGGGCTGTGATCTCTTTGCTTGTGAGACTGTGCAGGAGCCTCAGTCCCAAATTTGGAACCGACTGGCTGCCACTGGCAGCTAGTGGGTTTCTGCTGACGCGCTGAGCAACTGAAGGTTTGTTGATGGAAGAAATTTAAGACTGGAAGGAAGAAATCGGAGACTGTCTTGAGATCCAGTCTAGCAGGATTTTTAAATCTTGATTTCGGCCTTCATGCCCCTGATCAGACCAAATAGCCTGGATCTTCATTGCAGGGAACACTTATGAGTTTTGCTTCATCCATTGTTAGCACGCATGAACTTCGCCTTCTTCCAACGCCATCCGTTGTACAAAGGCCCTCTTTAATGGAAGCCAAAGCTCTTTCGCAGCTGGTGAACGACTCTCGGTGGCGTGTGTCTTGTGCAGGAAGCATCCTAATCTTTTGATCCAGCAGTCCAGTGGCTGCATTTTTGACAGAGCCACAGAGAGCCACAGAGCTAAGGAGCTGGAACACCCTGCATGGATTACATTCTCGTGTAAATCTGGGACTGAAGTTAGCTCTGGAGATCTCTTGGCAGATTGCATCAAAGCAGTTGGCTCTGAATGGGTGATCGGAGCCTTGGCTGAAAAGCGTCAGGATGTGTCAAATCGGGGGCCTCGGGGGCCACCAAATTCAGAACTGAGAAGGAAGGCACCTTTGAGTTCTAATTTCTCAGTTCTTTGAGATCATCCCCGAGTTTGCATTTTTGGCTGCTGGCATGAGGAGCTGGCGTGAACTGCACACATCCCAAGTTCGTCGCAAGCTTGGTGGAGATTTGTCGGAAGGCTTTGCCACCGTGGAAAAGTGCCTTGGCTGAGCTTCATCAAAATTGCAGATCTGTTTTGTGCACCATGAACCCACCATGGACCCACGAGCAAGTTGCTTCAGGCGTTGTCGTGTATCCCAACAGCGGAGAGGTTTGGAATGGCATAACCCACACCTGGGAGACGGGAACTGCCACTGCAGACAATCAGAGACTTGTTTGAAGCCAGTCAATGACAGTGTGGTGGAAAAAGCCTTGGTTTTTCTTGCAGCACACTTTGCTGAACTCGTTAGCGCCATGACATGTACAGACATTTACAGTAGCAACCAGTGGTAGGAGCTTTGAGGTTTGTGGAAATGGCCAAGCAATGGGCTGAGCTGGGGGCCAATTGCATCGGTGGATGTTGCCGAACCACCCCTTCCACCATCGCTGCGCTGAAAGCTGCGTTTGAGATCCTGGCCAGCACGGTTACGGGACACAAAGTGCTGTGCGATGCAGCGTGCATTCCCAATTGAGTTAAAACATTTAAAAACTTGTCCGGGAACCGGAAACTGATTCCCCACAGATTTCTCTTATAACGAACATTGTGTGTGAGTCAAACCTTTGCACTTGCAAATTGAAATGTGTCAGGTATTCCATCGGTCCCCACACCTCCTTGTCTCAATGTAGTCACTCTCAACCACCCGCAACCCCTACTGGCTCACAATCCATGAGCGGCTGAATGGAAGCCCCTACTGTCTGAGGTAAAGTGTGTGCAAAGCCAGACTGCCCATTGCGTGAATGGGAAAAAACATTTGCTGATTGAAAGAATGTGAAAGGCGGTTAGGAACGTCATAGGCGCTGGCGGTTCCAAAAGTCACTACTTTCACATCTACTTTCCATCAACTTCCCATCCCTATTTGGGATGATCCCTTGCCGGATTTTTTCGGGATGGGTTTAAATGAACGGTTTCAACATGTTGTTTTCTCCGGCTTGGAGATGGTACCCATGGCACCACTGCCAGGATTGTCAGGGCCAAAAGAAGAGCTGGATGAGGCGCCGCAGGAAACGATACAGGACGGGTGTGTTGGAGGAATTTCGCGGCGAAGTTGGGAGCTCCTCATTCATTTCAAATGCATCCTGAATTTGTATGATCTCCCAACATTCTCCATTGAGAGATATGACTGGAAATGACTGATAATATGAATTGAATTGAATTGATATGATTGAATGATACATTTGCATTACATTTGCTTCCAAAGCAGCCAAGCCATGATCTGAAGCTCCAGCTGCAATTTGAGCCAGGACACTGCGGTTTGAAGCTTCAGCGATTGCGAAGAAGAAAAAGGTGACTGCAGCGGTTGAATCTTCGACGCTCGCAGTTGAAGGTTGCGCACTGCATGAGTGAAGCTTTGTCTCCCATTTCTGGCTTGAAGAGCCAAGGATTCGTGTGTGGTCAGATATTTACACATATTGAATTGTATTGAAGTTGAATGGAATGTTGCACCTTCAGTTCCGCCCGTGGCCATTTGGCCCATTGTGGTGGCTCTTTGCAGACACTGCCCAATAGTGGGCCACATGCTCAGATGGCAGTGGCAGTAGATAGTTGGATGGCTACGCTAGTCGGTTCATGGCTGTCTAGTTCAGTTAAGTATAGTTGGACTTCAAGATGTTGTTGCGAATGCTCTTCCATTGAATTTGTCCTCAAAATCATGGATGCAAAGTGATCCAAGATGGGCTTGTTGAATCATTTTGGAAAGGAAGGCAGATGAAACGAATCACACATCACACGTGACGCTTGTGGTCTTGTGACCCAAGGGTTTGGAATTGTTGTAACCAAGGCAACAACAGCTACTTGCAGTCAAGGCCTGAAAGGGAATTTAGCCACTGCCAGCTGCTTGGATTGTACAGGGCAGTGGAGCCATAGAATTTTGGTGCAGCTGAACAAGAAAGTCACCGGAAGTACGCACAGAACCTGCCATAAATTCTGATCTTTTCACCATTTTGGCTTTAAAATGCTGCAGAGCCAAGCATTGAAATAACGCGAGTGCACTCGATGGCAGGACCAAAGTGCCTTGAGATGGGCAGCTGGAGTACGGCTCTCAATGTTTGAACAAATCAGGGCCCAGCCGGGCCCACTGCATCGGGAGCTTTGCTGACTGCATCTGATTGCTGAGCCGCTGAAAACACACTTCGTCACTTCTTCTGTTTATCCTGTTTCGTGATCAGCTGCATCCGAGAAAATCCTTACGCAACGCCATCTTCAGCCTATGGAGTCGGAAGCTCAAGGCTTTCGTTGGGTCCTGGTTTTGATTGAGACGTGGCACCGGATGAGGCTTTGCCATATTCGTTCGAAGCTCAGTCAATGCGAACTTGGAAGGGGTGGCTATTTCTTTTAAAAATCATAGATTATTAAACTCATTGGCCACAAAAAAGACCAACTCTGCGGTCCATTAGACCACCAATATTCAGCTCATCCCGACTCATCCCATACCTATCTTAGTTCTTGGTATGGGAACTGCAGGGACCCTGGGGACCTGAGCATCAAAGAAGCTTGCGAGGCTGCAGGCATGCCGATGATGGGGTGGATAAACATTTTAGGGAAACCGCAGGAAACCGCAGGAAACCGCAGGAAACCGCAGGAAACCGCAGGAAACCACAGTTTTCAAGAGATTTGGATAGATTTGGGTCTTGTTCACTTTTTGTTTTTCACTTATCCCATTTTTGGGTGCCCAGTTTTAAAGCAATTTTAAGCCATACCCAGAGTATGATTGAGATGGTCCAAAGTGTCGGAATTCCACTCAAGATGGCACAGGTTGAAGGTTGTACTGTAACTTACTAGTTGTAACCCTTCCCCGTAGATCTAGATAGTTCCTGATACGGATCGAGGCTGTCATAGGGGAAATTGCATAGGAATTGATCTTGAGGGGCGGGGCTTGGGTGGGGGGATGTGACCATGCTGACCATGCTTGTATAGGAATTGATCCATGCAAAGCTTGGGCAGGTCGAGGAGACAGCAGCGGCCACTGCGTGGCAGACAGTGAGATCAGTGTGATTGGCCCTGTGGGGCACTGAGCTTGCCATGGGGCCATGCCAGTCCAAGAATTCTGGCCCATTGGAATATGGATAGAATCTGCAACTGGACCACAAAGAATCCACAAAGAATCCACAAAGACTAAGAATGACACCTAGGGAACATGCTTTAGTACACTGCGATGGTACTGCTATAGCTATCTATAGTACTGCTATTCAGATCCTTCAAGGAGCTCAGTGCGTTGACACAAGGATGAGCGACCAGTGCAGCCTGTGAAGATCAACTCCTTCAGTGAAATTCGTGAGCACCCACCTCGGATTCGGATCACAAGGGCAGAAGTTTAGTTCTCGGAGTTCTCGGAGTTCTCGGGGTTTGGCTTTTTCATGCGGTCCTTTGAGGTTTCCTTATGAGATCCAAGAGCAGTTCAGGCACTCGGGGTATTTGACGCAGTCAATCATTTTGAACAGTTTCAGACATGCAAAGCCAGAGTGTGCAGGTTCATGAACTCTTTGTCTTATAAATACGTACTACAAATGGAACATGGAATAAACCAGTGCCCGGTTTGGAATCACGCACATACAAGAGTATATGCACAACGGATGCATTCTGACCACTTACACGAACATGTTCGAACAAGTATGAGTTATGTTCTGGAATATGGAGTGTGTATTATGAAGGGATCATGGGTATATTAGAGATGTCAGCACCCTTTGCCAGGCGAGCTGGCTTTCCTGGCCCATCACAGATCCAGGCAGGCTTTATGTTAGGTTTGGCCGTTTGGCCTGAGATCTTGTTTGGCGATGCAGCATTGTTTCGCAGTCTTGGTCAGAATGGTTTAAGTTTGTGCCAAAGATGGATTTGCAACCCACGTGCTCAAAGTTCAGAATACTTGCAACCAGATATTATCAGATTGTCTATTCCCCGATTCTCAGAGCACCATTTGCACCCTGCATGCCTTCAGAAACCTTGAGGCATTCACCTGGCCATTAGCTCTACAGGGTAAGGCACGGTATCTGAGAGAGCAAGGGAAAGCGACGAGGGAATTTGATGGCGGTTGGGGCCTGAAAATTCGAATAGATAGATACACACCAATTCATTGCATGCTATGTATTTGAACTGTATTTGAATTGTACCTAAATGAGAAGATCTTGGCCTGAAGTTCATGCAAATAAGTACACGATGCCTTGAAGGTTCAAGTCAACTTTTGAACCGTTGATATTGCGAGAGATATCAAGAAAGACGTCAACAAAGACATCCAAACCGTCCAACCCTGCCCAGTCAATCATCCTGAAATTCCAAGCCTTCCACGGGGTTCTGTACCTTTTGGTCGCCATGAACCTTCCAAGCGCCGAGAAGATGCAATGGGATCCCTTGTCTGATGAGGAGCTGAAGTTCTGCTGGCAGTGTTTGGTGGATCAGGGGCAGCTAACGACCTCGAAACTGCAGAAGTTCATGTTGGAGGTCACTGGAGATGAACTCACAGCCATTCAGGCCACAGATTTGTTGGGATACTTGGATGCTACTGGAGATGGTCGGGTTGGCATGGAAGAGTTTCGGCATTTCATGTCCACCAGTGAGCTGGACATGACGGACGTGCAGACCTTTCTCTGGTCGCCCACCAAGAGCTTTCGCGAGCGCCTGGGCTTGGTGCGTGTAGCACTGAGTGAGAAGGCACCAGATCCAGGCCAGGGACTTCCGACTTCCGGGTTTTTGTGAAACTTGGGTGCCCAGTGCCCTGCCCTCAAAATATCTCAAAATCCTGGTTTTGTGATCTATATATATATATATATACATGGTTTTTGTGGGCAAGTATGTTAAGCCAAAGGTCCAATGGTTGGGGGTATCACACTTTGGAACTGTCCATGTTCCTCAGATGGGAAACATAGGCAAGAATGATTGTCATCATCTGACTGTGGCTGGGAGTGGAGGGTTAGGCTGCCTGGCCCCGAATCTCTGAGTCCTATTCTTTCACTGCTTCAGATTGAATCATTCCCACACCGAGTTCTGCTCTTTGTATTGGGTGAGGCCCCCCCATGGTTTCATCATGTTTTCGCATGGTCTCATGCTACCTGTAATTTCACTTTATTGGGATCAACCGATCAACCTCAGAAATCACATCCCATCTCATCTCATCTTGACCTTCCCAGGCAAAGTTGAGGAGCAGCCGCACCCCTGGGACGGCCTCTTTCTTGAGGCTGAGGATCCTCCAACGGAATTCTCCAAGATCATGGATTCAAATCGTGAGAGAAGGAACAGCGGTGGAAAGAAAGGTAACTGGCTTGCACTTTTTTTCATTTTTGCACTTTCCGCACAGTTCAAATGAACATAATGACAGATGTGTATCATATGTGACATATCAACATCGCATTCTTTTATCATTTTTCCATTCTCGTTGAGTGATGTTGAGTGGATGAAATTGCCAAGCAAGCCCGTCCGTCCACCAGCGGTGGAGGAGGCTCCTCCAGAGGAAGCTGAAACTGTCAACGAATCCCGGCCGTCACGAGCGTCTCCCCCCAAGCAGTTGGATGAGAAGACCTTGGCCAGAATCGCGTTGAGTGTGCAGAAATATGAACAGCAGACTTGGGAGCGTTTGCATATGGAGCAAGAGGCTATGAGAAAGAAACTCTTCTCTCAGTGGACGCACAACCCCAATGAGATGACCAGCAAAGAGTACCACAAGATGTTGAGCAGAATGCACAAGCTCGCAAGATCCTCCATGCCAGGAGATTTGAAGCCAGGAGACACATTGGCCACCATGCAGTACATGCTTGAGGCCATCCAAGGCACCCAAGGCACCCAAGGCACCCAAGGTAAGGAGGGTGAAAGCAAGAAGCCAGAAAAGTTGGAGAAGAGGCCCGGCAGCTGAGTAAAGGGCTAGTATTTCAAGATTTTTAAGCAGCCTAGGGAACCATTGATCCAGATGTAACATATTGACAATCCCCAAACCCTGCTGATTCCTTGAACCAACATGAAGCAGCCAGGAATTGATACCCAAGGGATCTCAAGGGCTGTTTCGCTCAGGCCTTCCTCAAAAATTGATAAGGAGGATGAGCTGCTCCTGCCCTTCGCAACATGGCATCAATGTATGAGCGGAAAGCTGCGACCTGAAGTGGAAGAACAAACCAAGAAGGAAGCCAAGGAAGCAAAGGAAGCCAAGGAAGCGAAGGCCAAAACCAAGGCTGAATAAGGCCATGGCAGAAGGTCTGGAAACGCAGATATTCGGAACTGTGAAAAGGAAATGCTTTGAGACAGCACACAAAGCTCCAGGATGACATCAATAAGAGGAGCTGTCCCGAGTGCTGCTGCTTGATTCCTTGTGCCTCGATGTTTGCGAAAGATGCGAACTGAAGGCACTTTGTTCATAAGGCAGCCACAGTTGCAAGATGCAACTGCACTGATTGCACTGCGGTCGCAGAAAAGGCCAAGCGCATGCCCAGATGATCCCAGATGATATTGAAGCCAGCAAAATTTGGTGAAGCATCATGTGAACAGTTTGGCTTGCTGCGGGGCCAGGATGTGATCGGCATCGCGGCAACAGGCATTGAAACAAAGATGTTTCACATTGGGCCCTCGAGCAATCTTGGGCTTCATAGGGAGGATATGCAAATAGCAAGGTCGACTCAAAGGTCTGAAAAGTTACTTTAAAGTTACTTTAAAGCTATCCAAACAATGCCATAGCTGTAGCTGTGGCTTCAACATATCTTCCATGGCAAGCGCTGCCTTTTTCCGTCCCCAGCCTGAGCTAGCCCTCGCAAGGCAGTGGCAAGACGCTTGCCTTTTTGTTACCCGCTTTTTGTGAGATGTGACTCACCCAGGGATTGTTGTTTTGTTACAGTTGTGACTCACTTCGGGCATTTTTAAATCCGGAACTTTGATTTACAGTTCTTCACAGCCAAGGCGAAGACAAGGCTGGGCAGAGTTCGTTTAGACAAGATGCTCCTTTGACCTGGCAAGTTGACCCAGTGCCATGACCAAACCAAGTCGCTGTGAGGATTTTTTCCCGTGGATAGATGGCCACCTTTTGGAAGGCCATAATCCTGACAGACATGGTCCTGGGCTCCTGGTAATGTCGGTCCCTTGAACGTGTCAGCATCATGGTGCGATAGGGCGTGCGATAGGGCGTTGGCTCTAGCTCAGGTCTCCGACCAGAGAACTTGCGCAGCAAACGGAAGCAGAGGCCATGAATGGACAAAGGGCCTGAGAATTTACGGATCCCCAAACAGAATGGTTTTGGGATGGTTAAATCATAGTTCCATCCCCAAAATCACCAAGAATGGTACGAGCCCAACTTTACAACACGGCTGCTAGGCCGAGCGCTTCGGTGCCTGCATAGGCTTTAATGTGGTTTCAACCTCAGGATGATGGATCCGACAGATCCACAAAGATGAAGAAACTCATTACGGTGGATAAATGTGGATGATTTCGTGGATCATTTTGCTGCAGGTGGCAATGTATGGAGGTGCTCCCAAGAATGATCAGTACAGGAAGTCTGGCACTTGGAGCTTCAATGTTGAGATTTGATGGACATAAGCAGAACTCCATGTAGCTGTTCTCTTCGTCATGGAGGGCCCTCTATGGCGAGGTATCGGTATGGCGTGCACACCATTGTGGCGTGCCCTGGACGCTTGAACGACTTCCTGGAGGGTGGGCAAGTGCGACTCGATGGTGTCTGGAGCCCGGTAGCAAGAAAGAGGACGTCCGCAAAGCTTGTACCGGTCCATGCTTTGAAGCTGATTTATCATGATATCAATGATACATTTGCATTCGCTTGACATCGTTTGATGGGGCACTTAAGCGGGCTTCTGCCATCTGATGGTCAAATGATTTCTGGGACCTCAATTCTTGGATTAGATCTCAAGTTTCATGCACGGCATGAAAGGATGGTTCCAACAAGCAGACGTCTCACAAGGGCATGCCATGAACGAACCGATCCCAGGTGTCTTGCCTAGTTTTGGACGAGGCTGATCGCATGCTTGACATGGGCTGATGCCTTAACCGGGCTGGTGGGTTCGTCGTCTCCCTCTTGTGCGTGGTGGTCAGTCCACCCCAAAGTGAGGGCTTTGAGATTGTTTGAATATCGTTTCTGTGTAAGTACGACATGATGAATGAGTCCATCCATTTGAGGTGGAATGACCAAAGTTCGCAAACGCAAATCAGTTTGAACGACCATGGACCATGGCAATCCATGGCACAGATCTTGTGCATTCTTGACATTTCTTGTTATTTCTTGTCCCTCAGGTTTTGAGCCCCAGATTCGCAAGATCCTTGCGAGGACTGTCACCATCCTGCCCCAGCTGCGCCCGAAAAATCGCTCGCCACCACCAGGATCCCACGCAATCGACATACCATGTTCTTCACTGCGACATGGCCACGAGAGGCGAAGCCAAAGCGAAAAGTTGATGATGGCACCAAAGTGGTAAACTATGGTAAACTGATTGAAAGATGTCACGAAAGCACGAAAGGGTTTCTATGGTTTTGATTTTGATTTTGTTTTCGAATATATATTTGGATGATCACGACAATTGAATACAATTGAGAGTTTTGACACTTGGGATGGGTGGATTGGGCCAGTAGTCTATCGTGATGTGTTTCCCGATGCGAGGTACGAAACTTGGCTTCTGACATTCTCTACCATCCCTACAAGGCCAGGCGGCCAGGTTTTGTTTTTGTGAACCTATGACTCGCCTTTGACTTCCTCAGACGCAAGCGGCTGCTCCAGGTGATGATTGGAAACCGGGATGAGCTGAAGGGGAATCAGGACCAGCAAGTGCAGTGAGCAGAGGCAAAAGGCCCAAAAGTCACAAAAGTCATAATATCAACCAGCAGAATCCAGCAGAATCAGAAGCTGAATCTCTGAGCAAGGACATCATCCAGCAGGTGAGGTTCGTTGATGGATACAGCAAGGAGCTGGTTTGTTGGGACTCATGCCTCCATCACCAACCATAGTTGGTCGCAGCAATTCATGATGACCCCATTCACTTTATCTTGCAAGATGACTCCATGACTTGTGGTTGGCTCAGGAGAAGGCCATCGTCGACATCTTGCAAGAGGCCTGGCGGAGGATAAATAGATCTGTCATAGCGAATAGCACAATTATATAGGTATTTGCAGATACATACCCAGCATACCCCATGAAGTTTAGCGGCATAGACCAACACATACACATATGTCACATATGTATGTATATATACATATTGTTTACATACTCATACTTGCACATATCATAAACATACGTATATATATACTATTATATATACATGATATAATACATTATTTGTATATGATATATATGATACATTCTATATATATAATATACACTATATTATGTATGTAATACACATTTATATTAGATACATATTACACAGTATAGTATATGTCAAGATGACAAATGTATATAGCAATGAACTGTTGTTTTGAGGCATTGCAATTTGCCAGGCAGGCCTGATGGACCGCTGGAGCAACGGCAAAGATGGGACCTGAGTGTACCCTTGATGCCACCCCAAAAACATCTCATGTATGCGGAGGACAAAGGTCCTCCAAGGGAACCGCAGTGAAGTACAAGATAGAAGAAAGCCCGGACATTTGACAAGACATCCCTTTGTTGATGAAGGGCACATTGACAGAGGCTTTGATTTTCCGCAGTCTATCGTCCTATGTTGCAGATTACTTGCAACTTGCAATTTGATGCGACTGATACAATTGTCATGCACCTGTAGCCAATTTCCAAGGCCCTGGTCTTTGCTGGAACCAAGAGAGAATGCGAAAGGCCTTGCCCTGAGAAAAATTGTGCTGTTGAGTGGCTGGTCTTGGTGTGGCGATGAGGCTCTCACAAAATCTCTACAGGGCTGGTGTGCCATGCTCTTCTATCCATGGTGACAAGGACACCGACTGCAAGATATAAACATTTAAACAGGAGATCCCCATCCTTACTCTCCCATTGAGGCATAGGGTCATGGCCCTCATGGCCCTCATTGCTAGGGGCACCTGTTCCCCACTCTCTTTGATGTTGAGCTCTGTCGCGAAGGACCAGCGGGCGCGTGACGAAGCCTTGGGAGGGCTGAAGTCTGGCAAGTTGAAGGCCCCGTAGATTCAGCTTTGCCAAGTTCAGTGCGTGATTACTGTGGGGTTTTCGACAGGATGCAATCGCAAGTTAACCTGCGTTTCACATCGTGGTGGAAGAGCGACTGCAATCAAGTAGGCAGCAGAACAGCTTATCCGCAGGTTCTGGTTGCAACCGACGTGGCAGCACGTGGGCTTGACATCAAGGGTGTCCCCGACCCAGCCACATCTATACTGCAGCAGTGATGTCCATTGTGGTGAGACCTGACGCAGGTTGGGCTGGTGGTCAACTATGATGCAGCCAACAACACCGAGGCTCCCCGCGCAAAGGAAATTGAGCCTGGCAGCTTTGCGAGACACACCGAGTGTTTTGAGCCGACTTTGGAATATGCATGATATTCTCCAGTAACTGGCAACTGGGTACCTTTTAACGGAATGATGATTGAACACTATGAGCGGGCGAAAATTGCAGGGTTAACGGTTAGAGGCTTTGTCAACCTGAAGTTGAATCTATGCGAAGATCGCTTGTTGACACTTCATTTGGCGGGAAGTAATCGGCTGAGCAGGACTATGTCCACCGTATTGGACGAACTGGCCGTGCTGGGCAGAAAGGCTTTGCCGCAGGGACCTTGAACATGTGGTGATGCCACTGATGCCAACATACAACAGCTACTACTGACATGCAGGATTGATAAAGCACTGTTTTACATCATTTTGGGAGTCCCATTTTGGAATGTTATATATATATATATATAATATTATATATATAATATTATATATATATGTATATGTCATAATATATCATAATTCAATATTTCAATGCCATCACTCTTGCGGAAAACACTAGCCCTAAATCATCCACCGCATCAAGGTCACCTTCTTGGACAGAAGAGCAGATGGAGGAAAAGCCAGGGGCATCATGGAGGCTGGCTATTTTTCTTCCCCAAGAAACATTCAGAAACTCCAATGAAACCAGGAATTTCAAGCATTTAGAAGAACTCTTGGATTGATTTCGAAGGGCTCCATAGTTTCTTTATGTTTTCTTATAAATTGTCGCTCACATTAATCCTTCGAATTGAACGTTGACCGTTTTAAACAGGTCATGCAAAGGACCAACCAAGAGATTCCTGGCGAGCTACAAGATATGGTTGCTTGGCAGTGCTTTATCCAGTGTTGCCACCATGGTTGCTGCTTAAAGTCACAACATCTCACAACCCAATGCTATCAAAGACTCAAACCCAGACAGAAAGTGGGATCATGGATTTGGCACAGCTTTACATTGCTATTACTATGATTATCAGTGCTATTCTTACTCCTATTGTTATCATTGCTTTGGTATATATTCGTAAAAATGATAATTGTTGCTAATTGTTATTCTTATTCTACATATACAATATACATCTACATGTAGGTATATCAATCCATACATGCATACTTCCATACACAAATAAACATACTGTATGTCCGTATTCCTAATATCCAACCTTCTTTCGCGAGGCCAGATCTGGTGGCAAGGATGACCGAGGACGCTGGGGTGGAGGTGGAGGTGGACGCGGCGGTCGCCCTGGAGGTGCAAGTTGAATGCTTGCAGTGACACATCAACTGTAACAACAACTGTAATGCAAGCTGCAAGTTGAACAACAACTGTAACAACTGTAAGATTACAGGATTCCAGGTGAACGTCGCATTCTTCGTAGGATGGTGACTTGTTTCTTCAGATCCTATGGTCCCAAGAAGCTTCTCTGTAGGTGGTGGCGGTGGCAGCTGGGGCTTTGCTAGAGCCTTACAGCACTTACAGCGGTCATGTTGGTTTGCAGAGTTTCTTCCCTGACTTTGACAGTGACTTGTTTTCACTGGGGTCGCAGGGCAACAGAGGACGCAGCCGTAATCCTGGCACCGATTTGGGACGGACTTGCCAGGGAATTAAGCAAATGCTGAAGATCCAAGCATTTATGGCAATCTTTTGTAGGCAACCATCGTGATGCTCAGAATTTCTGATCTAGGTTCCATCCCTGTCTCGGTCAGGGCCATGGCAGAAAACAAGCTCCCTATGAAACAATCTAGACTTTGCCATACCTTGTCGATTTGGAAATGTGGGCTGACATGGCAGGCAGCCCTCGTCGATGGTGAGCAGCTTTGCAATCACTTTGCTCTTCAGAAGAACGAAGATCCCCATTTTCATATGGCAATCCGGGGACAAAAACTTGAACTGGATGACATAAGCCAGAAGTATCCACTAAAAGGCAAGCTTACCTATCTTCTCACAATTTGAGAACTGGTGGCTGTGTTGCTTCCAGCATTCAGTCGTCCCGAGCGGAATGGAACTCTCTTGAGTTCATGCGGGTCTGTCTGAAGTTTTGCTCACGTCAGTCTCATCAGGCTGCAGATTTCCCTTTTTTCCACACGTCTCGAAGTCACAAACAAATTAGACTGACTGACGCATATGAAAACTGCAGCCGCCAAGGGCACTGCACCGTTCGGTGCCTATGAAAAAGGTCAGCTGCCGGAGTGTTTGATGGCAGTCTTAAGCTCTCTGGTGAGCAGTGTTCAGAGTCGAGTCGCGGTATCACCGGAAATCACCAGGAGATGGGTGTCTAGCTGAGTTATGCCAAATCTTTGCACATTTGCTGCTTGGCGAGTCAAAAAGGTGCCGCTGGGTGGATGTGGTGGATGTGCCTTTGTGGTATTCTTCTCCTCTTTCGAACTCTTTTTCAAATCACAGTCCTGGAAGTTGCTTAGTAGAGACAAGAAAGTTGTTGATTTATCTGTGGCTGTGAGTTCAAGTTTAGTCTCACTTCAGACCGGACATCCAGCTGCGCTCTCAGAGACACATAGGGCTGTGTAGGGGTTTTCCTTGACTTGGTGATGTCATGTGATATCCATGTGATATCCATGTCCCCCATGTTACTTGAGGCCGAGATCCCACTATGCAACTTGGCTGGGATTCGTCACAGTCCACACAGTTTAAGATGGGTATGTTCACAAGTGCAGGTCAAGACCCCTGCGCGGTGACTTGGCGAGCACAACTTGTCGCTTTCATCAGCAAACACTTGGCTTTGGCACAGCTGTTAGAGCTTGAAGATTGTGAGAACCATAGCATGATAGTGCAACTAGCCACAGAAACGTACCTAAACACTCATTCATTGAAGGGAAAAGATGGGAAAAGATGATCATCCCCATGAAATTTCGATGAAATTCCCAGGATTCCGATGGCCCAGGCGTTTTTGTCTTGGTGTCTGTGCTGACATCTTTGCTCAGTGATTGGAGCTTTGCAGCACCCTTGAGCCGTACACGGATCACCACCGAGGCGGACCGGGACGGGGTTGGTTGGAAAGATTATATAATGGATGGTAAAAAATGGAAATCACCCCTCCCCCCAAAAATGGATGATTTGGGGATACCCCCAATTTTAGGGAACCAACACCGATTCAGAAACTATCTGCGATTCAGAAACTATCACGATTCAGAAACTTGCGCGATCCAGAAACTATCACGATTCAGAAACTTGCGCGATCCAGAAACTATCACGATTCAGAAACTTTCACGATTCAGAAACTATCACGGTTCAGAAACTATCGAGCTTCAGAAACTACGATTAAGAAAACAGAATTCAAAAACTATTTCCTCCGATTTACAAAATTAACGCGACTCAGAACCTCGCGCTTCAGGAGTTGAAAATGACATCAAAATTCCCACCCCCATGGAGCTTCAAACTGACTTGGGCTGCCCACAGGGATAAGATGATATCAAAATTTCCCCCCCATGGAACTTGAAATTCATATTGAATGTCCAGACAGGAAAGACGTTATCAAAATTCCCACCTTCATGGAACTTCAAATTGACTTGGACCGTTCACAAAAGCAATAGGATATCAAACTTATCGCTCCCGTGGACCTTCAAATTGGCCTAATGATGTTATAAAAAATCCGACCCCACGGAACTACAAATTGGCATGGAGTGCCCACACAGGGCAAATATATTTCCGACTATTAGTTTCCGAATCCGCGCGGTTTTGTTTTGAGTCTTTGTTTCCGAATCCGCGTGTCCTTCTTTCCGAATCTTAGTTTCCGAATCCGCCTTTCTCAGTTTCCGAATCTTAGTTTCCCAATCCTACTTTTTAGTTTCCGAATCACAGTTTCCGAATCCCCGTCCTCAGTTTCCGAATCCTCTGTTTTTTAGTTTCCGAATCCGCGTCTATTAGTTTCCGAAGCTTAGTTTCCGAATCTGCGGTTTTAGTTTCTGAATCTTAGTTTCCGAATCCGCGTATGTGTTAGTTTCTGAATCCGCGGTTTTAGTTTCCGAATCCGCGCTTGACCAATTTTAGGAAACCCTAAATTTTGGTCATCAAGAGTCATCAACTAGTGAACTAATGATGGTGATTCCCAGATTTTTTTTGTGAGACCTGGAGTCTTGTGAGCACTGCGCAGATTTGCAAATTTAGTTTGGAACTTTCAGAATTTCAAGCTGGGAGTTTCACTTTTTTTCCTGCATTGGTGGGCAGGCTGGTGCCAGTCCGGAATTGGTGTCAGTTGCTTCGCTGCTCTGCTGCCAGTGGTTGAAACACATTTCGGTTTCAGTGAGTTCCTGCCAGGGCAACGCCCTCACCAATTTTATGGAATAGCCTTTAGCCATACTCACGTGACTCACGTGTTCGTATGGCTCCCAATCTCTTCAAAAGTTGTCAAAAGAAGCAATGGACGATATCCAGTAGCCGGATCCATCAGTTGGCTTTATCGGCGCATGCTGTTTTGTTGATGGGAGTTTGCCTCCTAGGGAGGTCGTCCTGAGGCCTAGCAGTTTTGCAGGAAGAAGTTTTCAGCATGGAGCAAAGGCTCAGGCCGTGGGGAGGGACCCGATCCACATTCTCTTTATATCTCTCTATATTACATCCCGATCATCCCGGTCCTCATGAATTATTGTTTCTTTATGTTTCTTTATTGTTGGCTCATTGAAGATCGGACAGGCCACGAGTGTGATTGAAACAACATCATATTGAACCCAGTTTCACTGATGCCCGTCAGGACAAAGTTCCAGAGGAGACCTCTCGCTCCGATGCCGCCGTTTGGCTGCATAGATTGGTTGTAAGTAAGACCGGTTCTGCCACTGGGAATGGTGCGCAATGATTGAACCATTGGTCCACACAAATGGACCCACCAATACCAAGCAGATCAAGCAGAGCTAAGCATACTTGTCATATTTGTATATATTTGTCATATTTGTCTTGGTGGTTTCCTTGTGGTTTCCGAATGATTCGTCAGGATTCATTCCCATGAGCTGCACCACACATTCAGATGCCCAGGTATCTTTGGCCCTGGCAGCCGCAGGTTGTGCAGCAGGGGCCCGCAGGTGAAGGAAGCGTCAGTCGAGATTTGGGACCGGGCGGACAGACAGACTTAGGCCAACTTGAGTCATTAAATTACATTTAATTACCATCTACATCCGTCTACAGGTTTTCTTTTGGACCTCCAAGTTTGACCCATTCCCTTTCCAAGAAGTCGTTGTGTGTCACTTGAGGTCGCCATGCGTGCAGCTTCAGCCGCAGCTGAGACCTCTGAGACCTCTAAGGCCTTGGAATATGGTTTCAAGCCAGATGGGTTTGTCTGGACATGGTATACCGGTATACGGTATACCGTATACCCCCAAATGGCAATTTGAATGGGGAACTTCTGATAAACCATGACTAACCAATGAATTTAGGGCTACCCTATTTACAGACAAAGCACCAACAGCGTGATTCTGTGTTGCAGCTAGTACATTGTCAACCTCCGATTTTCACGGACTTGCCCCATTGCAGATGACCTGCTGCCTTCAGTCTAGCGGCATTTCGGAGGGTGATTTGATAGAAATCTGTGAGAGCCAACCCAAATCTGGAGGAGCCCGAGAAGAGCTTTATGGTGGCTTGCCTGACGGACTGGACAGATATTGAAACTGACAGCAGCACTTTCAAATGTATGCCGCGACTAGATGTTGTGTTGGAAGTTGTCAGCTATGAAGTACTTTGACTTCAGTGTTTGCGAGCTCAATCCAAGTTGCAGATGATTTGATGTCTTCAGTTTTTTGGCAGCGGAATCCGAGGACAAATTTGGTGTTGTTGTCTACATCGCCATGTGGTACATTTTTAACATTGGCCAGAGACTCAAAACTCGCCCATGGCCATGACAAGGCACCTAGAACCTCACCTGACGATTTGTTTGTCCAGTGTCCCTCCCGTACTAAGGATACAATATCTACAACAAGAAGGCTTTGTCATCTGACTGCATCTAACTTGCACAGTTGATCATCAGCTCAGCCGCCAGTGCCATGACGACGGCTTCTAAGGATCTCCTACCCATTCCCCTGGGCTTGCGCAATGTGGCAAATGTGCTTCGGATGGCTGATCTTTGTTCCTCTCTGGCTCTTGCGCATCCGCAAGGCCACGGGCTAATAGCTTTTGAGATTTAGTGCTTGGGTGAATCAGTGATTCGCAAGAGCAACAGCTATAAGATATTTTTGAGCTTCTCAAGTTCTGCAAATCTGTGTATATCTGGGCAGACTCCAAAGCTTTCTGTCTCTCAAGCAGTCACCTTGGCACCTGCAGCGCACGGTGCTGAGTATACGAAGTGAGACTCGGAACTTTTCACTTGGTCGCTTGCCTGGCCCCGTGCCCCTCACAGAAACAGGGCAGGCTTATCTTCCCCAATTGACCAAGCGCTATCTCTGACTGCATTTTATGCTTGGAGAAACAACCCCTGACAACACTCAAGGTCAACAAGCAGCCACTTTTGTTTGGTTCTTGTCTATGTTGTGGTGTTGCCTGGTATTTCCTCCCGAGGTTGGGCCACCTGGCCACTCACGTTGGTGCTGCCGGGCCCTCATGCTGTGTTCTTGATGTTGTGCAGGAAGTTCCTCAGAACCAAAGCAAAACATCACCAGCTGTTGAACAGGTGCAGTTTGTTGGGACCTGCAAACCTGTGCATTTCCTCATAATTTTCGTTTTCAGGTGATCGCCTTCTTTGCTGGCGCAGTGTCTTTCGGACATATTGTGAAAGCCTCTGAGCCGGTGGTGTCCTCCTTCCTGAATTTCGCCTTCCTGGGTGAGGCTGGTGTCACGCAAGGCAAAGCAATAAAACGGGCCTTCTTATGTGTCAGGGTTGATCACGCTTTGCAAAATAGATATCGCAGTGTTTTTATTCCGTGCAAACGTCCTCATTCGCCTGCCGACAAGAAAGAACAGAGTTTTATCCAGTGAATCCCAAGCTCCAAAGCTCTATATATATATATTTATACACACACCTCCTTTGTCGCCTTGGATTGTTCTTTTCAAGTGCGTGATCCTGCCTTGTCGCATCTTCCTAGCTTGATTTTGCTGTCCGGATTCTCTTTCGGTGGTTTACATGTTTCTCTTGGCCACAGATGCAGGTGATGCCATGGCAAGTCTATGCATCTCTCTTGCCCATCATTGGCGGTGTTGGTTTGGCAAGCGCATCTGAGCTCTCTTTTAACTGGTGTCTCGACAACTTTGACAAACTGCACTGATTTTGATGTTTCTCATGTGGTCCTGGTGCATAGCACGCGATCGCATGAAGAAACATTCCTGAATCAACTGACAGTATGATATCGGTATACCATTTGTGAGCACCTTGCACAGATCCGTTAAGTTCGGCCAAAATCTGGATAAACAAAGATGTAATGCTTGCAATCTGGACACACCATGCAATCCATTCACGGCTGCTCCATGATGATCGACGGTTGAACTTTCTCTTCTCATCGTCCAGGCTGTGCTTTGGAGCTGCTATGGGCTCCAACTTGGGCTCGGCATCCAGAGCCGTGTACAGCAAAAAGGTGATGAAAGGAGACATCGGTGCCGACCTGAGCCGAAGCAAACCAGCACAAAATCCACAAACAATCCATGCAATGTATCTGGCCTTAATTTAGGTCAGTGAAATATTATAATCTACCCAGAATGTATCATTCCACCCTTCCAAAGACGAACTATGAGGGTTGAGCATGGTTGAGCCACAAGCCATAGCTGTGCCGTAGCTCAGGTGAGAACATGGACTCCAGCAACACTTTCTCTGTCAGACCCTTAGTTTTACTTTGTGTTGCGGTTGAAACTGTACCCTGCAGTGAGGTTTTGACCATCATGGCCACTTTCATGCTGGTCCCCATCAGCCTCGCCATCGAGGGACCCACAGCCACTGGAAATGACCTTGCTCTGGGATACAGAATGGGCGGCTTGTTGTTGGTCTGTACAAAGTCGCAAACTAGTTGCAATGCTCTTTCTACAAAATGGTGCTTGGTTTCTGATGTTTCTGACCGAGCCTGGAGATAGCAGATGACAGCAATTGTTAGTCGTAGGTTCTATATATCAGTATTTAATGGAGCACCTAAGAAGTTCCCATCATCTTTCCCTTCAAAGACACCAGACTTCTAGATTTTATTGGCAAACTGGGGTATAATGATAATTCAGTGGTTGGTAGCTTTTGGATGTTTTGGGTCGCCTGTGTTGCGTTTTTTCTACTCACCACTGCTCAGGCCATGATCAAGGGCTTCAAGGTGGCCTTTTCGGCGGGCGGCATGAACTTCATGTGGCAGATACTTAGACGCACACAGGGTCACCCAGAGGTAGGACCCGATGGCTGTTGAGCCCAAGTGGATTTGCGGTTGCTCGAAGCACCCAGGATGATCCTCAGATCCTTGGATGCATTGCGCAAGTAAACCAGGAAGCAGCTGAGAGAATGTTACTTAAAAATGATACAAATGGAGTCTGGAGTGTCCTTTGTGATCTTTGGGGCCCCTGGTGAATCCTCACTTTGACAAGATCGCAGATGTGTTGAACTGTTGCAGTGTGGAATTAAGGCGGATTCTACTACTACATGTACAACGAGGTTGCCTTCCTTGCGCTGGGCAAGCTGGACCCAGTGCAACTTGACGGCAATGCTGCAATGCTTCAATGGAATGGCTGATGGTTAATTAATGGTGATTATCACGAAAGCTCGCTTGCTGGAGCTGACCCCCCCCACCTCCCCCGCCCCGAAGGGTTCTCCCGCTGCATCCATCTTGCAGCCAAAGCTACGTGGAACATATCACCACAGACACACACACACACATATAATATTATATTATATGGTCAGCGGGGGCGGTGAGCATAATATGTATATATATATATACACACACACACACACTCCACCTCCCTTTAATTTCTCATCCCCTTAAATTCTAGTCACATAATTTCTGTTCATTAAAAACCCCATCATATGGAAACTTTGCCAGCGTCCTTCTCCTCTCATATTTGGACACTTCGGTGGGTCCTCTCCCCTCCTTACACATCCCTCCTTGCCCCACTAGCTTTCGTCCCCTTCCTTCTTTTGGCCTCAAGTGTGTGAATATTAGTTAAGAATGGTCAATCGTATTTATGACTAGCATCTGATTTCTCCTTCCAAGAGCTTCCAAAGGATTGTTTACAATTGATTTGGTTTGAGGTCGCATGCAGTGTGCAACACCATGAAGCGGGTCGTGATCATCATTACGGCCATCTTTGTGTTCCGCAACCCAGTCACTCCACTTGGAATCCTTGGCAGCTCCATTGCCATTGCAGGCTCTCCAAATGGGGTGGGAACTCCCGGAACTCCTGGGACTCCATTCGAAGGCTTTAGGTAGCCATGTAACCATGGGCCTTTCACGGGTTCCTTTCACATGACAGGCACACTGGTTTACTCCTTGGCGAAGAACAAGTATGCAAAGAAGCCAGGAGCTGAAAAGAGACATTCAAACACTGGAATCCTTTGGATTTGTCGACTCTCATTGTCATCATGTTTCGAGTGTTGACCACGTGTTGACCACGTGTTGACCCAGGTGAGTTTTGGTTTGAGTTTCTCCGGATTGCATGCATATTTTTTCAGCTCGCCGCTGCATGCGAAGCGTGCCGTGGCATTTCTTGGCGAATTGCTTAGCTTGCTTTCGGGCAGAAGATTGGCAGATATTGGCAGCGTGTTGCTGATAGCGATAGTTCTACTGCAGATTCAAATCAAGAACTCAAATCTATTGAAATCTACGCTCACCAATGTCATTCGGATTATGCAGAGGACCTCACAGAGCATGCACATTGGATGGTGGTCAGATTTAGGATCGCTTTCTTTGAGGATCCTTTGCCATGACAGGACCTTTGTCATAGCTGATATTTACTTCTGTGTTGGCTCTGGAGACATGTGCAGGAGTTGAATTCCAAACTTTTTGTCAGTTACTGATGATCGTTCTTTGAGTTCACATCGTTCTTTGATGATCTTTGAGATTCAAGAGACTTCAGAGATTCCAGATCACACAGTTTCTTCATACAGCACGTTGATACCCTCCTGCACTAGGGTGAGCATTGGCAGAATCATGCCGTGAAACACTGGGTGTGGAGGGGCGCTTCTGATCTTCTGGCCTTTGGGTTCAAAAATGCTTGTAGAGATTGTGTTTATGTCAGCACCACAGGACATATGGCCAAAGGTCAGGGCTTTGCAATGGCAGCGTTTAATGCGACTGGATCCACAACCTCGCTGTGGTTCTGTTTCCAACACGATCACCCTTGCAGAGAGGCAGTCTCATCATCTGACCCCAAAACTCTTGACATGTCAATAAGATTCAGATTTGAGCAGAAGTTGCAGTGAAACAAGTGACAAGCTGCATCCTGCCTGCGTTCCGTGGCTCATGGGGTCAGAGCGAAATCCCTGGGTATGGAGCGTCAACCTGGAGGACTCCATGGACACTGGGAGGGTGCTGTTTTTTCCACGACATAGTTCGACTCAACTCGACACTGTGGATCCAGTGCGCTCCCACTGCAACTTGGAGGAGAACCCGAACCGAACTCATGCTTAAACTGAATTCCGTGATTTCATGATTCCCATCACATTTGAACAGGTAGGAAACTCTATCAGCAAAGGAAGTTTAAAAGGCAAACTTTGTACTCGATACATGCATGCATGCATGCATACATACATCCATGCATCCGTACATCCAAACATCCACACATCCATCCATCCATCCATCCATCCATCCGTCAGTCCGTCCGTCCATCCATCCATCCATCCATCCATCCATCCATCCATGCGGCAGACAGGCAGACAGACAGACAGACATACATGCATACATACATACCATACATTACATTACATAACATTACAAAACATTACATAACATTACAAAACATTACAAAACATTGCATAACATTACAAAACATTACATAACATTACATAACATGACATTACATAGCATTACATAACATTACATAGCATTACATTACATCACATAACATTACGTAGCATTACATAACAGTACATTACAGTGCATTACATTACATTACATTACATTACATTACCATGCATGCATGCATGCATACATCCATACATCCATACATCCATACATCCATACATCCATACATCCATACATCCATACATCAATACATCCATCCATCCATCCATCCATCCATCCATCCATCCATCCATGCATGCATGCATGCATACATACATACATACATACATGTATATAATACACACAGAAATGCCCAAACAAGTGGGGTACCAAACGAGGTCAGAACAAGTTAGTGGCTAGGTTATGAAATAATATGGAAATAGATGCAGTGTCTTCCTTAGTATTGGTGCTGAAGTTGTGCAGGTTGTTTCAGAGGTAGAGTATGTTGCGTAGCCAGCAAAAAATGTAAAAATCAGCGCATTTTTTCAAGTCAAAGTGTGCTGGGCGCTGGCAGAGAGACCCTCAAGGCTTGGTTGAGGCTCAGTATGTCTTCTGAGGCACAACACTGGACGATTTATGCTGCAAGTATATCCTCACCAAGATTTTTCTTTTTATCGCTTCAACTTGATATGGCTGCGCCGATGTTTTGCTGGCCTATGCTAGTGCGCGGCCATTCTCTGGCTTTGTTTGGGTTTGAATGCTTAAGCGGTTGACAACGTCAACATGAGTCATCAACTCGCCATATGTTTCGGTGAACAAGTTCATTGATCGAGCGCATAGGTTCTTGCGTGATTGGCTTGCGTCAGAGAAGGAGTGCTAGCATGACAGTGATTGGCAAATGGAGTGCTTGAAAGAACAAACACAATGTAAGGAAAACTACCTGAGGCCTTGTACTTTGACCACTGGTGGCATCAATGAAGTAGACCATGTGTAGTATAAGTCTGTATAGCTGTATTTGGCAGAACCTTGGCGTGGGTGTAAGAGTCCAGCAACATTCTTTGAACAGCTACTTGATCAGCTCAACAAAAGCATTCACATGCCCACTGAGTCCATGATTCAATTGGTGTATACGTCAAAGTGTGATGCACGGCTCCGGGGGCGAATCTAGATGGCTTGCGATTGTCACTGGATGTGCAGAATGACACACATTTGGTGATTGATGGAATTGGGGCCCCAAAATAGGTTATTTACATTCAGGTGATAAAAATTTCCTATTTCGGGAGATTCTTTGGCGTCCCTAGAAGATTTCCTAGTTTCACGTGGTGGATCGAAGCAAATTTTGTTTGGGACGCGTCATGGTGTTCCCGCCTTTCAGGATTTGCGTGCCAACCCAGCTACCATCAGAGACGAAATCATTGGCTGGAGTGGTATTGGCTACAAAGCCGTCGCCAAGGTGGGCGTGCAAAGGATCCCCAACCCAAGCCAGCTGGCCATTGACCAGGTTGGGAACCGGCTTCTGAGTATATGGGCTGGCGACCGAATGGAGTACGCACTTGGAGTCACAGTCAGGACGGCGATTTAGCTTTCGGATTTTTCAGTCGAGTGTGGCTGTGTGGATTCGCGATGTGTCGACAACTTTTTTGACAGTTCGGCAGGGACGAAGCTCGCCCAAAGCATGCTGGCGGGTTGTGCGCTGCGCTCCCTTTGTTGTGAGGAGACAATCTGTTACAGTTGCGAAAGTCAAATGAATACTCTTCATGTACATCCAAATCAGTTTCACCGAGATCAATCCTTGTTCAGTTTGAGTGCACAGGCCTTGAACAATGTACTGTTTGTATCTGTTTGTGGTATTACATAGTGATCCATCCTATCCTCATACTGTGATCTATGAGGTACGTGTGCAAAACTGAAGGCGGAGCTTTGCGCCACCGCGTGCCAGCGTCGCTGCCTCAGTTTCTCTCCATGAAGAAGATGAGGATCTGATGCTGAAGAGGAGGACAATAGTGCTTGTGGTATGGTATAGAATTACATAAAATGAGATATACAAGACACAATAATGATATACACATAAATCATATGACCACATATATAATATCATATGTATATATAGGCTCGTCCCAGGTCCTGGAACTACATACGATGGGGTGGGGGGATGGGGTGGGATGTTAACGTTCATGTGAACTTGCAGATGATGATGATACTAATGCTGCTGCTGCTGATGATGATGATGATGATGTGATGATGATGATGATGATGATGATGACGACGACCCTAATGAAACTTGTCAATTCCGTGACGAAATTTCGTCACGGACTTGACAAGTTTTACCAACCTAATTCGGGTTTGCGCAGTTCTAGGACCTGGGACGAGGCTATATATATATATACATAATATGCAGACATACATGTAGATGAGTGTTGCTGAATGATGACCATGCTTTCGTATGTGTAGCGGAGCTGAATCATTGCCACCGGTGGCTCAGGAGGCGGGGTGGCTTGTTCTTCGCTCCGCGAGTACTTCTACGTTGTCGCTGCGAGGCCACCTTGGGATAACTGAGATTTCCTACATCGAATATCAATGAATATCATGGATGTAATGGGACCTAATGGGGGTCTCCCGCTTTAATGACTTTAAGGCCACTTTCCCAGAGTTAACCTTGGCTGTATACGTTTCTTGAAGATTTGATGCGCATTTTGATTTGCTTGGTTCTGGCATTCTAGCTGTCTTGCTTCCCATGTGTCAGGGACCATTTGTTGAGTATCCTGGTGGCAAAGTAGTCCTGGCCTCACAACCGATTGGCTCGATGCAGCCCTGCTATCCACTTGAGCTTTTCGAAGCTTTCCACAAAACCTAAAGACCTCCCGGTCTTTCAATACGTTTGCTGCGGGATGAGGCTTGCACTGCACTGACACCTGTGGAAGTGCGGCCTATGCCCTCGGGCAATTCTGGCACATTTGAGGATCTCTTGTGCAAGTTTTGCAAAGAACAGAATCTGCCAAGACCACCAGAAGAAAAAGCACATCGCCTTACAACCTTTCCTTGCATTGTCGAGCAAATGCAATTCGAGTGTTTTCTGTGCCGTAGGCTATTTGCACTCAGAGGTGCGTCTGAGTTGTGGGAACTGTAGAGATACTGCTCTGTGACTTTGTGACTAGACACACGCATAGAGACCTGAAGGCACTGCATGGTGAAATTCACAAGCGAGATTCCAGTTGAATTCCCACCCTGTGCAATGCCTGTGCAAGGTGGCATCAGCCTTTCCAGGTGCCCTGCCGCGGCCCAGTGAAAGTCTTCGAGAGGAAACCTCTGCTTTGGAGGCTGAGGCCTGGGCCTCTGCTTTGGGACAGCGGCATTGGTCTACTGGGAGTCAAAGTTATTGGAACTGAGCATCCCAACATCACATGTATTCAGTTGATTTTGAGGCGAAACTGGAGTTCTATGGATTCCTTAAGGTAAAATTATCCACAGCCTCGCCTAGGTGGCAGAACTGGAACGGCGCTTGGGATACCGTTGAGCGGCACTGTGCTGCATAGCCAATGAACGCCAACGACCTGCCAAAGAGCGGACAAAAATGGTGTTGATGGCATCATGGTCGCAATCTTGCGCAAAACGAAAACAGAAACCCTGTTGCTGAGGGGTTCACCCATTGGACTAGTCAGTCCCGCAGATTTCTTTTCACCTGGCTGCCACTTCGCCACTTCTCCCGTGGCTGTTTTTTCGTAGTTCGACGTAGGGCCAAGGGGCACGCAGCGGGTGGCGGCTTTCAGGTCTGAAGGCGATCGTGGTTTTGACGTGGTTTTGACGTGGTTTGACCGGAAAGCGTCAGCGTTTCCATGCTGATTTGCACCTAGAAGATGTACGAAGACGTCATGTGAAAGAGTCGGGGTACTGCCAACGGACAGCGGTGGAAGATATGGTTTATGAGTCCGGCTGGGCGTGGTGTCCAACACATACCCACATCTGAGTCCCAACAAGCCGCTGCATGATTCCTTCTCTGCTCAGGCTTTGATCGCCAGGCAGCTTTTGTCGGGCTGGCTTCCTTGACAGCAGAAACAGTGACAAGCCTGTGGGTGCTGCTGTGCTGCTATTGGGATTTTTGCACAAGTACTAGTATCTAGAATCTAGCAGCCGAATTCTGCACTGATGATGCTGTCCAGATCTATCAAGTTGCAGATGTGAGGCCACTATGGTCGTCCTCTCTGCGGCAATTATCAAAAAGGACAAGACCCTCGTAGCGCGTGGATCAGACATGTTTAGCCAGCATCCATTTACAGATGCCAAACATGACCAAAATGTGAGGATCCGGGGATCCGTTTCGTTTTTTGATCCATGCCCAATTGTTCTTTGAACACCAAGTAAGCAACGACTGGACCAGGGCAATTCGTCGAGATGACTCGACTCCGCATCGAGGTTTCAGTCTCAAGCGTTGTAGGGTGAAAGTGGTCATAGCATGTCATAGCAGCTCTGCCAAGGGCCTGCTTGGTGCCTTCACAAAGCTGGTGGACAGCGGAAAGGATCATACCTTCGCTGCAAACTTAGTCTTGATGTGGGTTTGGGATGGTTTGGGTCAATCCCCAAATTGGTTTGTTTATTGATACTGGTACTTATTGTTCCAAGTGGCTTTTGTTTGTTGTTTCTTTATTGTTTCCCACTTTTCCGCTCGCCTGCTATATACACTACTTTGTCGGTCAAAAATGGTTTCAGACTGTTGATCCATAGAGCCCAGGTTGAGACCGAGTGCAGAGCCCTAGCTGCTGGACAGCTGCGAGTTTGGCGTAGGAAATGGATCTGTGATCTGCCTGTGAACTGCCCTTGATCTGGAGGTCTGTGCGCTATGTGTACCAACCCATGGAGTCTCTCAACTTGGTAGTCATCACCAACAAAGCAAGCAACATTTTGGAGGACTGTGTTGACTGCGTTGCTGCTGTGTGGAGTGGAAGGTGTGCCCAGAATGACTGGAGGAAAGCTGAAGTGATGAGACAGATAGGCCAAGACTCCCTGCATAGCCTCCTCGGGGTAGAAAAATTTGGGCTCCCAAAACCAAGGCTTCTGCGATAAATTAAATGATTCGGTGGGCTTCGCAAGGCAGAGAAGGTTCCTTGTGCCTAAAATACATCCGTTTTTCCACAGCCAAACATAGCAAAAGCCTGGTTTCCCCAGCAAAAGAGATCATTTGCCAAAGACAATTTTCAGTTAGAGATGCAGTGAAGACCCAGAAAACTTGATTGAAAGTTATGTATCTATATTGTTTCCCCACAAGTTTTCTCACCATCTCTGGACTTGAAGATCCGAAAATCAGGACCTGGAAACGCTCCGCCTACTGGCCAAGGTGGAGATTTTCAAGCGGTCGAACCTATCAATCCGTGGAACTTAATATATTAAGCCAAGATTAATGGAGGTTCACCAACCATAATATGGGGATACTCGTGGGGGATAGGAATCAGAAATAATGGCTGTAGAAGAATCGACAAACACATTATTCTTGAAGACATTTCTTCTGGCGATATGAAGCAACAGAACTGTTTTTCAACAACAAAATAGTTTCCTCTTGACCAAGTATCAACCAATAGTGCCTTGGAGATATTCTCGGGATGATATTTTTTTTGTATCAATTGGGGATGGACATTCATTGACCAGCAGGGAGTGTTGAATTAATAAGACGTACTTGTAGTAAACATGTCAGGAATGATGATACGGAGACGATGTCATGGGTCCATCTTGGCTGTATTCGTATCATTTTCTCATATTTTCTCATCAGATTTTGTCCTCTAAACTGCGCCTGGGCTTGCTGACTTTGAGTGCAGGTGTTTCACTAGACATCTCAGAGCTCTCACCGAGGAAAAGATTGGGTATGTACCGGCATGAATGTCAGTATGTCTAAACACGAGGTACCGAACCGCAGAGGGACATGGGGCACTATGGACCACTTGCAGCCCGGAGGTTGTCCAGGACTGCTGTGAGATTCAGGTCTCCGAGGAAAATGTCGCGAGACTTGGTGCTTGGGATTTTTGCTTCATCTTGCCAGATCTTTATCACGAAAGCTAGCGTCAGCTAGCTGGAGTCTTCTTGCTTTAGCAAGTATTGGGGGGGCTGCTCAAGGACATCACGTGATTTTTCACGCGAAAGGGGGGCCCCCCCCCCTCCCCCACCATCACCACCATCACCACCATCATCATCATCATCATCATCATCATCATCATCGTCATCATCATCGTCATCATCATCGTCATCATCATCGTCATCGTCCTCTCCATCGTCCTCGTCCTCGTCCGCGTCCTCGTCATCATCATCATCATCATCATCATCATCGTCCTCGCCATCATCATCATCATTCATCATCTCGTCATCATCATTCATCATTCATCATGCATCATTATCATTCATCATCTCATCATCATCATCATCATCATCATTCATCATTCATCATTCATCATTCATCATTCATCATTCATCATCATCATCATCATCATCATCATCATCGTTATTCAATTACATTTTATCATTATTGGCAATTATTGTCATTATCACGAAAGCTAGCGTCAGCTCGCTAGAGTCTTCTTGCTTTAGCACGTATTCCGGGGCTCCCCAAGGACATCACGTGATTTTTCCCGCGAAAGGGCCCCCCCCTGCCCCCTCCCCCATATATATCATTGTTATATATCATATATCAATATATCATTGTTGCATCCTCGTTAGGACGAACAATGCCGCGACACGATGATGACAGTCCCTCCGCAACTCACCTCTTCCCTTCCTTCTTTCTCCTACCCCGCTAGCTTTCGTCATCCACCCCCGGCCTCAAGTATGTAGACATCCACAGAGATTTTCCGAGGTGTAGCTGCCATACTCTTGAATCAGAAGATCGTGTTGTATCCAATCACACTGGGTGGCCTGTTGAAGGTTTGATGCCTGGCCAGTTGTAGTGGAATAAGGTACAAGTTTTGGAAACTCTCAAAATTTCATGTGTGGAAAACCTGGTGGAGGTCTTTTCGTGCTTTCCCGAGGTTCTCAAACATGCCTTTGACATAGTCTTTGCCTTTGACGAGGCCCCAGACAGATTCAGGGTGAGGAACCTGAGTGGAATCCAGCATCGATTATAGAAAGACAGCTGAGTGGTCTCTGCACGTGGGGAAGCGCAACTTTTTTTGTTTTTGCAACCTCAAATATAATATGTTTCCCAAACAAACACCGCTAGGTTACCCTTAACATCCCTTGACTATGTTTGTACCCTTGAGATCTGCTTAAATGTTGCATCCTTTGCGATTGCCATCCTGCCAAGACTGGGTCGTACGGCAGGTGATTTCCTTTGGTTATCGCGAGAGTGCAAGGACCTCAGATGGAAGCTCTGCATCCGGATCTTTGTGCAGGTTTGTCGGTTTGTCTGAAAATAGGCTATCTCCGTGTATCTCCAGTTCCAAAGGATGACTATCATTTCCCCAGTGCAATTGCTATTTGGGGCTATACCCTATTTTCAGACACACCCTTTCTTGTGGTACTATAGTATGTGTTGTTGGGTAGTGCAGCAGCTAAATCCATGGTAAAATATGGTAAAATCATCATGACAGACAGCTACGAAGGTCACTTTGTCACAGATTAAAACCTACACAGAGATGGACAGCCACGAAGAGAGGCTGTCTGGCACCCAGTCTGCTGGTGAATGATGGCAATTGCAATAAATCCCATTATGTAATGGATATATTCCAGTATATTCCCCGTTATATTCTCCGTTATATCCCCCGTATCTATTGATCTATCTATCAATCTAATCTAATCTAATCTGATCTGATCTGATCCAATCCAATCCACTCCAATCTAATCTAATCTAATCCATCTAATCTATTCCAATCCAATCCACTCCAATCTAATCTAATCTAATCTAATCCATCTAATCTATTCCAATCCAATCCACTCCAATCTAATCTAATCTAATCTAATCTAATCCATCTAATCTATTCCAATCCAATCCACTCCAATCTAATCTAATCTAATCCATCTAATCTATTCCAATCCAATCCACTCCAATCTAATCTAATCTAATCCATCTAATCTATTCCAATCCAATCCACTCCAATCTAATCTAATCTAATCCATCTAATCTATTCCAATCCAATCCACTCCAATCTAATCTAATCTAATCCATCTAATCTATTCCAATCCAATCCACTCCAATCTAATCTAATCTAATCCATCTAATCTATTCCAATCCAATCCACTCCAATCTAATCTAATCTAATCCATCTAATCTATTCCAATCCAATCCACTCCAATCTAATCTAATCTAATCCATCTAATCTATTCCAATCCAATCCACTCCAATCTAATCTAATCTAATCTAATCCATCTAATCTATTCCAATCCAATCCACTCCAATCTAATCTAATCTAATCCATCTAATCTATTCCAATCCAATCCACTCCAATCTAATCTAATCTAATCCATCTAATCTATTCCAATCCAATCCACTCCAATCTAATCTAATCTAATCCATCTAATCTATTCCAATCCAATCCACTCCAATCTAATCTAATCTAATCCATCTAATCTATTCCAATCCAATCCACTCCAATCTAATCT